TGGGAAAGGCACGATCTTAGAAAAGAAAACTATTTTAAGCAAATATGTACAATGTACATACATACTTTCGCATGTAGTTGTTTGAAGCAAAATAACTGTTTGGATGTCTATTTTGTGTGTTGTGTGCATACGAAAATACGAAATGGAGCGGACAAGCAGAAGGCGACCACTAGGCCATTTTGCGGGCATATGCTAATCAGAGTGCAAATTGTTCATAATTTAGAGCAGTGCCTCAACGATCTCAAAACTGGGTTTAATTTGATTTGATTGTCATAGTCTTGCAGGCGTACAAATTAATGAAAGCCACATCTGCTCCGCAGTGTAGTACGTAATTTCATGACAGTTAAATAAAAGAGAAATCATTTCATATTGAAATAAATATTCCGCATTTATATTATCATATTTTAATTTGGTGAAAAATAATATTGACTGTAATGGTTTAACATTTAGAGCTTCGAAAGTGATCTTTGTTTAATTTGAGGGGGTATTTTAATCTAGAAATAAAAAAATCGTTGTTTTTGTATTTTCAAGAATATTTTAAAATTCCAATATTTTTCAGATATCGATATTATATCGAAAATATAGATATACGCGAAACTTTAAACACTTACAAGAATGTCTTTTTTAAAACGATACCCAAAACTTCTCAAATTCTACTGGATTTACCTGAAATTTTTACAGTCATCTTCATAGACATGTCTATGCCTGGAACTAACCATATCCCCAAATTTCAATTTTTACAAAAATTGTTTTTTCGGGCAGTCGCCATTTCGTGAAATTTTTTTCCAACTTTCCCCTAGTTCCAGATATAGCGACACTATTCTCGATATTTTTTTTTTTGGTTTCAGATTGCTAGAAGGGTTGAAATCGTGGGTATTTTTGAGACCCCCACTTCATCAGCTGCTAATTTTTGAAATTTTTAACTTTTTTTAAATTTTTTGATTTTTTCCTGTAGTCTTGTAATGTTGATAAACAACGAACCAAAAAATGGTTAGTAAAAATATGAATTGCCTCTTTTTACGGCATTTCAAAAGTTACCGGAAATGCATGCTTTTAGACTAGACCTTAAGGGGGTATTAACCACTTGTGAATTTCAAAAAATTTTATTTTTTTTGCGTATACATATGTATTTACATGTATCGAATGTATATTTAACAAGTAAGGAAGGGCTAAGTTCGGATGTAACCGAACATTTTATACTCTCGCAAAGTCAAATAGTATACTCGTTTGAGATTTCTTTGTGGATTGACTGATATTTTCGGTTGAAGGTCAACTATAGGTACTGGGGTCCACATATTTAGTACTTAGGGGCTTAAACAGTTTTGGTTCGATTTAGACAATTTTTGGCCACAAGGTGGCATACTTTAATCGCATTATTCACGCAAAGTTTTATCCCGATACAGTCATTGTTGCCTGATTTGCATAGTGGAAAGTGAAATAATCAGATGGAATTTAAAATGGTGTTATATGGAAAGTAGGCGTGGTTGTAGTCCGATTTCGCCCATTTTTGCACTGTGACATAGAAACATGAAAAAAACGTTATGCACCGAATTTGGTTGAAATCGGTTAAGCAGATCTCAAGATATGGGTTTTCACCTAAAAGTGGGCTGTGCCACGCCCACTGTCTAATTTTGAACGCGGTTCCTATAAAGTCATCTGATACCATCCCAGAGATAAAATTTAATGACTCTGGCGTGTTTAGTGCTTGATTTATCGCGCTTTTAGTAGTTTTTAACAGTACCGTTATATGGGGAGTGGGCGGAGTTGCCACCCGATTTCAACTATTTTCGCACCGTCAATAGAAGTGCTAAAAATATTTGCCTCCAGTGAATTTTGTTATTATAGCATTAGCGGTTTAGGAGATATGCACATTAAACCTATTAGAGGCGGGACCACGCCCATTTTTTTAAAAAAAATTTTAACTGCAGATGCCCCTCCCTAATGTGATCCTGTGTACCAAATAACAGTCTTGTATCTTATTGCGGAGCTTAGTTATGGCAAGTTATTTGTTTTTGATTAATGGCGTTTTGTGGGCGTGGCAGTGGTCCGATTACGCCCATCTGCAATACCAACCGTCTCACGGTACCATGAAACATGTCTACCAAGTTTCATAAAGATATCTCAATTTTTACTCAAGTTAGAGCTTGCACGGACGGACGGACAGACGGACAGACGGACGGACAGACGGACGGACAGACGGACGGACAGACGGACGGACGGACAGACAGTCACCCGGATTTCAACTCGTCTCTTCATCCTGATCATTTATATATATGTAACCCTATATCTAACTCGATTAGTTTTAGGTGATACAAACAACCGTTAGGTGAACAAAACTATTATACTCTGTAGCAACAGGTTGCGAGAGTATAAAAATATACACCTAAATTTGAAGTTTATCTGCCAATAGAGATATGAGCGTATTTTAAAGAATTTTTTAACTTAATGTAATCGGCTCCCAAAACTTTTTCTCGAAACGAAAACGGCTTGAGTTTTCACACGACTTTTTATATATATTTGTCAGGTATTAATCGAGTGAAAAAGATTTTTATAACAATTTGCATTTTTTAGTCCACTCTGAAGTGTAATTTTTTTCACGAAAGGCGAATTTCTTTTTTTTAAAAGCCGCCATTTCGTCAAAAATCTTAACATTGACTAGTTTTTCGACCATTACCTGTATTCATCGATAGAAATATTTTTTTTTTTTTTTGTTTTTGGATGTGAGATAATTTAAGCAGAAAAATTTCCCTCACCGCCAGACACCTTCGAAGGACCTCCGAAAGTCCTGGTAATCGACTATGGAATTAAAGGAATTCAACATTTTTCAAAATGAATCACCGACTATTAAAGTACATTAAATTCTATAAATATACATTATTGTTAATTAAATGTATTACTGTAAAAAAAACATTACTTTAAAAAAAAAAAATTAACGAAAAAACTCTCAACTCAATATAAATGAGAGTCAATTATTACCGCATGCCAACGTTTGTTCTTTGAGAATAAGAATTTAGGATAATATTATAATATGTCGACTGTCAGTTTTTCGGAATAGAATAGTCATACAGACTTTATGCCCATTTCGCAAAATATTTGAGCATTGAGCATAGAAATAAAACAAAAGTACATTTTTTTTTCTTATAATTTCATCACCCCATATAAAGCTTCTCCCTCAACAAATTCTAGGTTATGGGTTGATTGTGTTCGCAGTTTTTTGCAGTCTTAATCCAAGTAAAATGACTATGTATATAGTCACATAATATTCGTGGGCAGCCGTACTGGTTTTGGAATTGCGTGAGTACATCATTAACATGCCTGTTGCTTTCTAAACAAATTCAACACATCGTTATAGGCACAGCAATTCAAGCAAATTTTCATTTTTGTGGCAGCACACAATATACCAGCACCAACAAATTATTTTGATTTCGAAATGTTAAAATTATTACATTACACATTTTCGTCATACTACCTCTCGTTGCGCATGTCAAGGTGTTAGTAAGTTTTTCTAATTGTTTACATTTGCGGCTGAAGAAAAACTGGGGCAGAAAATCAGCGTTGTGTTCCATTCATTGCGAGGAATTGTCCCGCATACCACTATATCATGGCACTTCACATGCAAACTATATTACACTATAAAGCAAATGAGAGGAACCAATTAAATAATTGAAGTGCATATTTGTGTAACGTGTGCGGAAACTTACAATATTTAAAAACCAACCAATTAACAGCAACAGTGTGTTATCTTGAAAAAGAGTACAAAGAACCTCAGACCGCACTTTCATTTCTTCTATTTATTATTAATAATAATTATCTACAATTTAAAATTACTCGCTAATGTTTTAAGTACCGAGAAAGGAGAAGGAATTTATGTGTTTTTGGGCTTTTTTTTAAATGAAAAATCTTACTCAACAAAAAAATTTAATTATAAAAATGAAAAAGTAGCTACACACGTACATATGTACATATATACGTATTTACGTAAATATATCTTATTTTTTGTTTAATCTAGTCAGATAAACAAACAATATATTTTATTTTATATACATATGTACATACATAATATTATCTAAAACGAGAAAAAAATTGATTTTGAAACTTGCCGATAAGATTAGAAAAGTTATAAAGAATAGAGCAGCTGGCATATGCTTTGGTGCAGTTGTATGAAATGCATTTAAATTATTCTTATTATATTGTTCCTTTAAAACTACAGTTATTTTTGTACACAAAATAACCACCTGCAAGTCATAAAAACCGCTTTTTTTTTGTTTGAACAGGTATTTTATTTAATGAATAAGCAAAATAATATCCATTTCTGATCAATTTTGGAACACCTCGACCCCATAGTCAATCTCCAAGAAGACCTCCGAAAAAAGGAAGATTATTCTGCCTAAAATTATCTTAAATCCAATAACGTTATTATAACAATAGATGAATACAGGTATTGATCACTAATCACAATTTTGATTTTTGACAAAATGGCGGCTTCTTAATAAAAAAAAATTAGTGTTTTGAGAAAAAATTTACAATTCAGAGTGGCTTAAAAAATCAGCTGTCAAATGTTACCATAGATCAAATCACTTAAAAAACACGCTTAAAAAATCTCATAACTTTTGTTTTCTCTTTGCCAAAATCAAGAAAAAAATAATCGTAGATGTAAACAAAAGACCTGTTTAAATAAGAAAGCAAAAGAAACTATAAAACTAGCTGAAGAGATTCAGTAAAGCTTATAATAGAACGAAAAGTAAGAAATATATAAACATGATCCGAATGTCTGATTCAGCTTGAGCTGATTATTATTCCGCAAAAGTTTAAGCATCAGCTCCTCGGTAAGGTCGATTTTGTATTAAATTGAATTTGACACAAATTTCATACACTATTTATCTTTAAATTTATATACAATTTTCAAATTAAAATTTACTGTATTATATATAATATTTATTTTACATACATACGTATGTATGTACATATGTGTAAGTTTACTTTATAATATTAATACCAACCTTCATTGCCAAACATGCTCCATAATTTTGAAATTAAAAGACCCATTTTGTTGTCAGCTTTGCGATATCTTTCTTTTAGAACTAAATATATTAACTGTAGTTTCTATACAGTATCTCCACTTCACTTTTACACTATTTTGAGGATGTAAAAACAAATATTTACCCGTATTCAGTAGAAATATTGATTACAAAATATATACAAAAAATACATTTATCACAAAAAAAAAGTTACAACAATAGTAACACCGTAACGACAAGTTTTTGGCCGATCGATTGTAGCGGCAGTGGTATGGTACCGGTGGCGCGTAGACCAACTGTTGGCGATGGTGCGATCGTTCGCAATTCCGTTCACTTTCCGCTCAATATAATGACGTAAATTGAGCTAAATTGCGACCTGCTCTCACAAACAACAATCGACTTCCAAATAACAAAATAGCTACGTTTAGCACTGAGGATTATAAAATGGCAGTAACAATAAATTAAAGTCAAGAAAGAAATGAGTAGAAGAAATATGCTGCTATTCGTCGTCACTGTTATGTCTAGGAAAGCGTAGTAATTTTAGCAATGGACACACCATACTTAAAGGCCCGTGTTTTATGTGGAGCGCTCAATGTTACTCAGTTCCATTTGTTACGCAGTCAAAGTCGAGCTTTGTTTTATATTACGTTTTTTAAACAGGTAAAAACTTTCACTGTTAATCACAATCCTCTTGGTAATCGAACCACTGCGTTTTATGGTTTGTGGAAACAAATCAAAAAAATATCCGCTTATATATTTTTTATATGGTACCGCAGATGAACTGGAGAGGAGACAATGTTACTCAGTTACTATTGATATACTGCAAAATCGATTATCATTACTTTTATTTAAATAAAAAAATCTTTAGGTTAATAGCAACAATGTCTCACTTTTTTATTTGAAAATCTATCGACACCAATTTTCCATTTTTCGTTTTCTTAAACACTATTCACACAAATACAAATTTTTATAATTTATTACGTCTTAACATTTTCGAAAGGCTCCAATATGTCAAGAAAATAAATTTATATAGTGAAAATAAAGCTTAATTAAATTAATACACAATATTCTCACACGCATTAAAAATCTATCAAATATCACGAATGACTGAAAGAAGACCAAACTTCATCAAAGCAATTTGACAACAGCCACCGAATGACAGTGGAACGCGACAGCAAGAAACGCGGTGTTGCCATATTTTAAATAAATAAATATGACAGGAGCACTCAAATGTTTTAAAACCAATTAGTAAAATTCATGCTTAGATCATTTTCATTTGCTGTTTTATTTGAACAATATTTTATTTACATTAATATATGTTATTATATATAGATATATTTTTTATTATATACAGATATATATTTATAAATATATATACACATTTGTATATACTAGAATAAATAACACCAATTGATTACAATTTATTACAATTTGATCATAACAATTTTACAACTATTTTCCTATTAATAACTATTTCGATTATGTTTTCATTATTTTTGTTAACACAGCGATTTCGCAGATTTGCTTTAGGTACACTTTATATATTATTTACAATTCGTAAGCCAATTTACCGGTATCATTGTTTGTCATTCTGGTAGCAAGTAGGTATTTTTAAAATCCTATAAGAAATGCTGAATCGCCAATGTGTTGAGAGGAAACTCTTCTGAAATCAAAAAATAAAATAATTGAAATGACTGTAAAGCAGTGAACAATTGCACATACTTTATTTTAAACTCATAATCCTTGAGCGCTTTCATCAAGGCAAAAGCCAAAATTGTTCCCTGTCCAAGTAAAATGTATCCTCGTTTCAAATTTACATTAGTCCTAGTTCGTGGGCTGGATTTCATTTCATTATCAGTTGAAAGTTCACGTACTATAATTTCTAGGCGTTCATCTCTATTGTTCAGACGACTGCTCTCTGCCCATAATTCGTCATGATTTTCTATAAGATTGGAGTGGTCACGCCATATCTGGCGATTAGTGCCCCTAGCAATCTCATTCTGATCCTCTCGGTCATCAAGTCGAGAAAGTGCTCGTTGTTCTTCACGATCGTCAACACGTCTTGTAATTTCTTGTCGCTCCTGACGGTCATCACGGTGCATTAAAGTTTCTCGTCGTTCGTCGCGATCATCAACACGTCTGGTGATCTGTTGTTGTTTCTGTCGGTCATCAGGACGCATTTCAATGATTCGGCGTCCTTCACGATCATAAACTCGTCTTGTCGGCTCTCGTCGATTCTGTTGGTTATCACGGCGCATTAAAGTTTCATGTCGTTCTTCGTCATTATCAACACGTCTTGAAAGCTCTAGTCGCTCCTGTTGTTCATCACGGCGCATTAAAGTTTCTCGTCGTTCCTCGCGATCATCAGCACGTCTTGTAATTTCTTGTCGGTCATCGAAACGCATTGAAGTTTCTCTACGTTCTTCGCTATTATCAACACGTCCTGTAATATCTTGTTGTTCTTGTCGGTCATCAAGACGCATTGAAGTTTCTCGTCGTTCTTCGCTATTACCAGCACGTCTTGTAATCTGTCGTGGTTCCTGTCGGTCTTCAAGACGCATTTCAATGGCTTGGCGTCCCGCACGATCATCAACACGTCTCGAAATCTCTCGTCGCTCCTTTTGTTCATCACGGCGCAATGAAGTTTCTCGTCGTTCCTCGCGATCATCAGCACGTCTTGTAATTTCTTGTCGTTCTTGTCGGTCATCAAGACGCATTGAAGTTTCTCGTCGTTCTTCGCTATTATCAGCACGTCTTGTAATCTGTAGTGGTTCCTGTCGGTCTTCAAGACGCATTTCAATGGCTTGGCGTCCCGCACGATCATCAACACGTCTCGAAATCTCTCGTCGCTCCTGTTGTTCATCACGGCGCAATGAAGTTTCTCGTCGTTCCTCGCGATCATCAGCACGTCTTGTAATTTCTTGTCGTTCTTGTCGGTCATCAAGACGCATTGAAGTTTCTCGTCGTTCTTCGCTATTATCAGCACGTCTTGTAATCTGTCGTGGTTCCTGTCGGTCTTCAAGACGCATTTCAATGGCTTGGCGTCCCGCACGATCATCAACACGTCTTGAAAGCTCTAGTCGCTCCTGTTGTTCATCACGGCGCATTAAAGTTTCTCGTCGTTCCTCGCGATCATCAGCACGTCTTGTAATTTCTTGTCGTTCTTGTCGGTCATCGAAACGCATTGAAGTTTCTCTACGTTCTTCGCTATTATCAACACGTCCTGTAATATCTTGTTGTTCTTGTCGGTCATCAAGACGCATTGAAGTTTCTCGTCGTTCTTCGCTATTATCAGCACGTCTTGTAATCTGTCGTGGTTCCTGTCGGTCTTCAAGACGCATTTCAATGGCTTGGCGTCCCGCACGATCATCAACACGTCTCGAAATCTCTCGTCGTTCCTTTTGTTCATCACGGCGCAATGAAGTTTCTCGTCGTTCCTCGCGATCATCAGCACGTCTTGTAATTTCTTGTCGTTCTTGTCGGTCATCAAGACGCATTGAAGTTTCTCGTCGTTCTTCGCTATTATCAGCACGTCTTGTAATCTGTCGTGGTTCCTGTCGGTCTTCAAGACGCATTTCAATGGCTTGGCGTCCCGCACGATCATCAACACGTCTCGAAATCTCTCGTCGCTCCTGTTGTTCATCACGGCGCAATGAAGTTTCTCGTCGTTCCTCGCGATCATCAGCACGTCTTGTAATTTCTTGTCGTTCTTGTCGGTCATCAAGACGCATTGAAGTTTCTCGTCGTTCTTCGCTATTATCAGCACGTCTTGTAATCTGTAGTGGTTCCTGTCGGTCTTCAAGACGCATTTCAATGGCTTGGCGTCCCGCACGATCATCAACACGTCTCGAAATCTCTCGTCGCTCCTGTTGTTCATCACGGCGCAATGAAGTTTCTCGTCGTTCCTCGCGATCATCAGCACGTCTTGTAATTTCTTGCCGTTCTTGTCCGTCATCAAGACGCATTGAAGTTTCTCGTCGTTCTTCGCGATTATCAACACGTCTCGAAATCTCTCGTCGCTCCTGTTGTTCATCACGGCGCATTGAAGTTTCTCGTCGTTCCTCGCGATCATCAGCACGTCTTGTAATTTCTTGTCGTTCTTGTCGGTCATCAAGACGCATTGAAGTTTCTCGTCGTTCTTCGCGATTATCAACACGTCTCGAGATCTCTCGTCGCTCCTGTTGTTCATCACGGCGCAATGAAGTTTCTCGTCGTTCCTCGCGATCATCAGCACGTCTTGTAATTTCTTGTCGGTCATCAAGACGCATTGAAGTTTCTCTACGTTCTTCGCTATTATCAACACGTCTTGTAATCTGTCGTGGTTCCTGTCGGTCTTCAAGACGCATTTCAATGATTCGGCGTCCCTCACGATCATAAACTCGTCTTGTCGGCTCTCGTCGACTCTGTTGTTCATCACGGCGCATTAAAGTTTCTTGTCTTTCTTCGTCATCATCAACACGTCTTGAAAGCTTATAGTCGCTCCTGTTGTTCATCACGGCGCAATGAAGTTTCTGTCGTTCCTCGCGATCATCAGCACGTCTTGTAATTTCTTGTCGTTCTTGTCGGTCATTAAGACGCATTGAAGTTTCTCGCCGTTCTTCGCTATTATCGACACGTCTTGTAATCTGTCGTGGTTCCTGCCGGTCTTCAAGACGCATTTCAATAGCTCGACGTCCCTCACGATCATCAACACCTCTTGTAATCTGCCGTCGCTCCTGACGATCGTCACGGCGCCTTGAAGTTTCTCGTCGTTCGTCGCGATCATCAGCACGTCTTGTAATTTCTTGTCGTTCTTGTCGGTCATCAAGACGCATTGAAGTTTCTCGACGTTCTTCGCGATTATCAACACGTCTTGAAATCTGTCGTGGTTCCTGTCGGTCTTCAAGACGCATTTCAATGATTCGGCGTCTCTCACGATCATAAACTCGTCTTGTCGGCTCTCGTCGATTCTGTTGTTCATCACGGCGCATTGAAGTTTCTCGTCGTTCGTCGCGATCATCAGCACGTCTTGTAATTTCTTGTCGTTCTTGTCGGTGATTAAGACGCATTGAAGTTTCTCGACGTTCTTCGCGATCATCAGCACGTCTTGTAATTTCTTGTCGTTCTTGTCGGTCATCAAGACGCATTGAAGTTTCTCGCCGTTCTTCGCTATTATCAACACGTCTTGTAATCTGTCGTCGCTCCTGTTGTTCATCACGGCGCAATGAAGTTTCTCGTCGTTCCTCGCGATCATCAGCACGTCTTGTAATTTCTTGTCGTTCTTGTCGGTCATTAAGACGCATTGACGTTTCTCGCCGTTCTTCGCTATTATCGACACGTCTTGTAATCTGTCGTGGTTCCTGCCGGTCTTCAAGACGCATTTCAATAGCTCGACGTCCCTCACGATCATCAACACCTCTTGTAATCTGCCGTCGCTCCTGACGATCGTCACGGCGCCTTGAAGTTTCTCGTCGTTCGTCGCGATCATCAGCACGTCTTGTAATTTCTTGTCGTTCTTGTCGGTCATCAAGACGCATTGAAGTTTCTCGCCGTTCTTCGCGATCATCAACACGTTTTGTAATCTCTCGTGATTGTTGTCGGTCTTCAAGACGCATTTCAATGACTTGGCGTCCCGCACGATCATCAACACGTCTCGAAATCTCTCGTCGCTCCTGTTGTTCATCACGGCGCAATGAAGTTTCTCGTCGTTCCTCGCGATCATCAGCACGTCTTGTAATTTCTTGTCGTTCTTGTCGGTCATCAAGACGCATTGAAGTTTCTCGTCGTTCTTCGCTATTACCAGCACGTCTTGTAATCTGTCGTGGTTCCTGTCGGTCTTCAAGACGCATTTCAATGGCTTGGCGTCCCGCACGATCTTCAACACGTCTTGAAATCTCTAGTCGCTCCTGCTGTTCATCACGGCGCATTGAACTTTCTCGTCGTTCCTCGCGATCATCAACACGTTTCGGAATCTTTCGTGATTGTTGTCGGTCATCAAGACGCATTGAAGTTTCTCTACGTTCTTCGCTATTATCAACACGCATTTCAAAAGCTCGACGTCCCTCACGATCATCAACACCTCTTTTAATCTGTCGTCGCTCCTGACGGTAGTCACGGCGCATTGAAGTTTCTCGCCGTTCTTCGCGATCATCAGCATGTCTTGTAATTTCTTGTCGTTCTTGTCGGTCATCACGGCGCATTGAAATTTCTCGTTGTTCTTCGCGACCATCAACACGTTTTGTAATCCCTCGTGGTTGCTGTCGGTCTTCAAGACGCATTTCAAAAGCTCGACGTCCCTCACGATCATCAACACCTCCTGTAATCTGTCGTCGCTCCTGACGGTCATCGCGGCGCATTGAAGTTTCTCGTTGTTTTTCGTGATCATCAACACGTCTTGTAATCTGTCGTGGTTCGTGTCGATCATCAAGCCGCACTTCTATGGCTCGGCGACTCTTATGATCTTCAACTCGTCTTGTAATATCTCGTCGCTCCTCATGGTCATCAACATGTTTTGTCATCTGACGGTCATTACCGGGAATTGCAGTTTCTCGCCGTTCTTCACGATCATCAACACGTCTTGTAATTTGTCGTGGTTGCTGTTGGTCATCACGTCGCATTGAAGTTTCACGTCGTTCCTCGCGATCATCAACGCGTCTTGTAATCTCTGGTCGTTCTTGTCGGTTATCAAGTCTCATTTCTATGGCTCGGCGTTCCTCACGACCTGCAACTCGTATTGTCATCTCTCTTCGTTCTGATTGTTCATCACGACGCATTGTAGTTTCTCGTCGTTCTGGATGTTCATCACGGTGTATTGAAATTTCTTGTCCTTCTTTGTAATTATCAACACGTCTTGTAATTTCTCGTGGCTCTTGTCGGATATCAAAACGCATTGCAATTTCTTGCTGTTCTTCGTGATTATCCAATTGTCTGATAGTCTCTCGTCGCTCCTGTCGATCATCAGCGCGTCTTGTAACTTCACGGTTATTAGCTCGATTTGAATAGTCTCGAGCCTCTGTGTGAGCACCATAATCGTAATGGCTTGAATGTTCTTGACGCTCTGAAACTTTCTGGTACGGCGGCGATTGTTTTGAGTATACACTGTTTCCTCGTACCCAAATGTCACCGTTGCTTGAATATTTGGTTGTCTCGATGTTAAAACATTCAACGTAACCGTCATCTTCACAAGTGCGTAATTCCTCTCGAGCAAAACTGGTCGCTACTATTAGGTAAAGAACAGTTGCCTGCAACTGCCAAAACCTGATACCCATTTTACTTATCACTTGGTTCAGACTATTCGAGAACTTTTATACTAAGGATGAAATAGTAGTGATGCTAGAGCTCTCGTGTTTAGTTGCGATTGTCCTTGTCGAGCGGATTGCTTTGACTTGACTGACCTCCTGAAAGTATTCGCAGCGCTTTTATACCAATTCCTGTGGATTTGCTGCAGAAAAACTCGCAGCAGTGTTTTCCAAGATGTCTTCTAATTTCTTCCTTCTCAATGAACTTCATTTCCGCGCTGATTGATTAAATTTGCTTATCGCAAATGTGCACCACTGCACGCTTGAAACAGTGCGTGAGTGGCCACAAAGGATTCAATATGCTTATGCCGATATTGATTTGTGTCATTGTGCTTTATTTTTTAACGGTTTGTGCTTAAAAAGTAATGGTTTTTGTTTTATGAATGAAATTTCCGAAGCCTTGGCAATGACGTCAATGAAGCTTCACTTTGAATGCCAAGGACTTCTGTGACTCATAAAAATAACTGGACGTTAGTGGAGTACAGTAGTTAATTTATTAATAATAAGAAGTGAAATTTCTCTTAAATTCAGGAACTTTTAAATAACGGAATTTCGTACGATAATACGTTTTTACATACATATATTGAAATTTTACAGTGAATAGTTCTCTCTGAAAGAGAGGTGGAAATAGATGAATATGGTCAGAGACATTTACAGTAAATTTGTTACTTGTGGAGTTTCTTTTTAAAGATTTTCCTAAACTCTTTTAATGTCAAATATTAGATTGATAAAGAAATCAACGCACTATGAATTGTTTAAGGAAACTGCAACACTACTTTTTTGGGAGCTCAACAGAATTAATCATTAAGTAACTTCGACGGAGTAGCAGTTCTTGGTACTATACCAATAGATACTTAGATTTCCATTATCAGTATGTTTAGATTTTACAATACAACGGGATTATGTAGATTTTACTATTTTGGTACTAAATCTGTTATCATTTGTCTCAGGAGCTAAATTTTTATGAATTATATAGAGTTGACGAGAGATATTAAATTAGCCACGAAGTTTGGAACACCCAGAAAAAAATGTCGGAGACCCTATGAAGTGTATGTATATACTTATATACATACATAATCACGGGCTGAGTCGATTTATGTCCGTCATTCATTCCTGTTTTTCTGTCCATCTGTATATGCGTGTACTAGTTCCTCAATTTTGGAGATATCCATCTGAAACTTTGCAGAAAGGTATTTTCAGCCTAAAACGCTCCATAAGTTCTTCTATGGAATAAGTTTTTATTTGGCAAGTTATCTTCATAAAATAAATATACAAAGCCTTACAATCGCGTAGAAGATGTTTTATAGTCCCCTCTTCATCTACCTCCCTGCAGCTTCTGCAATAATCATTATATGGCGTTCCTAGTCAACTTGCATGCCTACAGTTAAAAAGTGACCTGTTAGCACTCCTACTAGAGTTCTTATATAATTGCTTTAACATTTTAATAGTCTGCATGTGCGGCTCAACTTCCATTTATGCCGCGTTTGAGACTTAGCTATATTTATAACATTTTTGTTGATTAAATATCTACAAGTTGTCAGAGGCATACAAATTCCCTCGTTTCCGGAGTGTTATTGTAGCGTAGTGCCTGTTCTGGCTAGTTCATTTGCTTCACAGCTACCAGGGGTATTAGTATGTATGTCCTAGAACGCATTGCAGGTTTATCGTAAAATAACATGTTAGATTCACTAAGAGATCAAGGCATTCTTTCACTAACTTTCACGAAATCCTAAGAGTCTTTAATGTTTTCAAAGCCGGCTGGCTATCTCTATACGAAACTTTTCAGCCCCCAGTTATCTAACAACATTACCCAAACGAAGAACTAATTTTATGGGTACTTCTGGGCTGTACTTTATTTAGTAACTTATTATAATATAAAATTGAGAATTGTTATCTTGTCTTGTAACAGTCTCACAACGAACTCGATTATCAAATTTTTTTCACTAATAAGCGTTCTCGACAGCTTCTTAATTTAGCTGTATAGCACTAGATTTGTTAATATGTATTTGAAAAGAAAATTAGTTAATTGACAAAATTTAGGGATTAAAGCGCACAATAAGTCAGTTAATCATCTATGAATCTGTACATATGGTATATCACATAACCGTGTGACGTCAGAGCATTTTGAATTTTTGTTTTTAAAATTGAAACATTTGTACGCTCAAGTAATAAATGATTTATGACCCATATGGAGTATATAGTATAAAGAATCAATTTACATAGATACATATTATATATGCACGTATTCATTCATTCATAAAATAAGGGTTTCATTCACATTTTTGTGCTTTATGAAGTATGAGGAAGCAATGAAGTGGCAAAAATTACTGTACAACAAAATTGACACAACATATTTTAAAAATTGATAAAAAGAAATCGCCCTAATGACCAGTTTATGCGCAGAGCCAAAAGTGTGTGACTACCAGACGATGGGTGCCAAGTTCAAGTCCAAATTTCCTATTTCTACTCGAAATGCAGCGATTTTGAAAGCGGTTCAATACTGGCCACATCAGTTAAACAAATATTTTTGGGAAGAAAAGCTCGGCCAAAGATATAGCCAAATGAAGCTTATATCCATTTATTGCGCATTTGTTTTACAATTTTTCAATTTTTTATGGCGAAACATAAAATTCATACTCTTTAGAAAACCCTTTCCAAAACAAATCCTTTGCGATTCTAATATCGTGCAATATGTGTGCTGGCGCAAGTGCACATTTGTGATAAGAAGAAACCAATCAAAGGAAATTAAATCGAACAAGCAATACATAGAATGATTAATTTTATTTATCGCCGGTTGAGCGCAGCCTGATAGCTTATTACTTGACACTCAGTTAGGCGGAAAATTTAAATTGTATTATATCTTTAAGGCACATGTATGTGTGTCTACATATGCTTGTGTGCGGAGAGAAAAGTATAAAAGAGCGTATTCATTCTAGCTTAGAGCTTAGTGCATAGATTCCGGTCCACTTGTGGTGAACTAAAGTTTTTGAGAAGTCAAGTTTTAAAACTGTAATATATTTTCGTGGAGAGAGTGCATTTTTGCAATTCACAATGGGTAAGTTTAGTGTTAGTTAATATTCAAAGTATGAACTATAATTTTTGTTACCAAGCTTTGTAAGGTTTGTAACGCGTGCCAAACCAACACAAAAATCGTAAAAGTTTTAACGGTTTCTCATTCTCTCGATTTCTTGTATAGCTCACTGTGGAAGTTTAGTGAAGTTTAGAAATTATAAACATATGAAAAATTGGTAATTTGAACCAAAACCACCTACTTCGGGAAATTCGAAAGTAGTTATATTAACTGGAGGGTTACTTTAAAATACGATTCGAAAAGAAGCTTTCTAAGTCTCCGCCTAAGAATGCTGATTATAGCTTTGCAATTAACTTTCATATTCTATCACAGAGTACGAGTACAATCTCTGATGATTGACAACTATTCTCTCTCTCTTGAAAGACAACCACAAATCTAAATCAGATGATAAAACATATATTTACATTATGAGCTCATCCTCGACGTTTACCGCTTCATCGTCACTAAATCTTTTTCTACGCAGCAATTTCTTGAGGTATGATTCGAAGCAATTTAGCCGTCGTTTTCGCTAATATCTACATTGTCTCGATTGTTAGCTAGCGCTTTGCCCACTTAGCACAGAGCTTTTATTTGTTGAAATATCATGAGCAATATGTCCGAAACTTTCCACTGATAACTTCATTCTGTCAGCTATCTCGTTAAAGTTCATTTTACGGTGAACTCAATTTTTTTATGATTGCATCGATAACAACCACTTTTGGAAATTCACTGGTTCCATCGGGGCTGGTGAATGTTAGCTAGCACGACAATCCTTTTTAAACAATTTTTTAAAATACGAAAATTTCACTCGTCCATATTAAAAATGCTATATATGAGGAACCAGTTTCCCGACATGCATGGAGGTTATATACGTGTCATTTGAAAGTGTGCTGTAACTACAGCATATACAAGTATTAATCTAACCTTCGTATCGCCTACACTCTAATTAATTAAATTAGCAAATTTTCCGTGTAGAGACATTTAAGAGACTGATACGTCGCACCTATTGCTTTTAAGGTCCCTCAAATTTCATTTAAATTTATATCTATAGATTTAATATATTTCAATTTTGATATCAAAAACCTTTTCATATTTCCAGGATGACAAAGGCTTAGAACAGGGTGCTAGGCGCCCAAACTCAACAGTTCTTTTTATTGCCGTTTATTTCTAGTTTATTTTTTTTTTTAGTATTGTATATTCGAAACTTTCAACATTTTCTTCAGCCTAATCAGTCGAAACCATCCATGCACAAAATAAAAATTAGTTAAAAACATTTTTAAGCTTATTTTTTGTGGTTTCATAATCGTTGCTGACGCTCCAAAAAACCTTTGTGCGCATTGCACAATTGACTTCAATTAATTTAATTTAACAAAATAAAAACAATATGGACAACTTTCGACCGTGTGTAAATTGAACTACCCTACTAGATGGAAATGTGAATCACAATAACTAAACTTAGTATGTAAAGCGAGTGAAATTATATGCCATTTTATGTATATATAACCAATAATTAACTGAAGCTTACTACTTGTTGCAAAATTTTCAAAATAAATATTATATAAATATGCTAGAAAAGTGTTGAAGACATTTTAACGCTTACCTGAAGCCTAGAATTGACGAATGTGAGAATTATAATCATAACTACATACATAGATGTATATGAAATATGCTATAAATTAATTGTCATTATCAAAATAAATTGTTGTGTGTGTATTAATTAAAGTTTATTATCCTCTACTCAGTCCTTCATCATCATCCAGTAAAAATATTCGAAGACCTCAAACATGTTGCTGTTGTTTGGGATTACAAAAAAAAAAAACAAATTAATGACTTAAAAAAGAGCATGAATTTTGAATTTTGATTTGCGAAATACAATAAATTTAGCATAAAATCTCAAAATTAAAAATACAAAATTATACGATATTAATTGACTATATAATCATATGTAAATGCACCAATACGGCGATACAAGAAATACATATATATATATACTACATATGTTTACTAAGCGACTTCAGGAGAAATGGACACTTATGTAAAACATTATACCAAATATTATAATAATAAATACAATATATATATATATATAAATATGTAAATGTGCAAAGTTAACTTAAAGAGATCCACAAATACTAATTATTATTCAAATGTTCAAACTATAATTGCATGCTTTAAATAAAAAATAAAACTTGAGTGTTGGGTGAATTGAAAACGGAAGTTGTTTTTTCCTTATCAATGTTGTTGTTGTTGTTCCAACATCAATCGAGTTTGGGGAATGGTCCATGGGTATATATAAATTTGGGTTCATTTTGGCTACGTAGACTTGAGTAGGAAGGCCTTAATTCCACAACCTATAGGTCTAAATTTAAAAGCATCCGTCGTCAAGAATATATTCACCTTAAATCTTTTATTTAAAAACTTCAGTGTTATATTTATTACTTTAGAAATGACTCGTTTATCTGATATATTTACATTCCACCTACTTTAAGCTTTCATAAACCTCTTCAAATACGCATGTAGTATTTTTTGCCTTATCAATTGTTCTTACTAAAAAATTTAGACCATTCGTCTATTACATTGACGACACTGACACAATGGAAACGGTATAAAACCAATTGGAAGATTTAAATGCTTTAATTGGGTATATGGAGGATATAGAGGGATAGAGAGACAGTCATAGGCACCTAAGTCCACATGTTGAGATGAAATTTAAGATTATGTTATATGCGAAGTAGGCGTAGTTGTAGTCCGATTACGTCCATTTTCACACCGTGATATTGGAAATTGGTAGAGTAGTTCTTGAGATAAAGAATTTCACCTAAAAATGGACGGTGCCACACCCATTTTCCAATCTTTTTTCCAATGCAAATAACGGCCTCCCAAGCCCACACACTTTTTAGAAAATTTTAAACCACAGGTACCCCTCACGGAGAATCTTATACCAAATAACAGTTTTGTATCTTAATTTGTGGTTTAGTTATAGCACTTTAAGGCTGCAATACCAACCTACCAAGTTTCATGGCGATATCTTAATTTTTACTCTTAGTTATCGGACTGTCGGGCAGACAGTAATCCGGAATTCAACTCGTCACGTCATCCTGATAATTAATATATATTAATATAATATAACGCTATATCTATCTGTATTAGCTTTAGGTGTTGCAAACAACCGTTAAGTGAACAAAATTATTATACTAATTATACAGCATTCACTAAGATTTAAAGAATTAGAGATTACGGCAATTAAGACTCGGTTAGGTTTCGGGGCCGATCCCACTTGGATGTGTCTGCTTCATTTTCAAAAACTCTTAGCTTTGAGTCATTACAATCTCATATCCCGACAAAGTTTTTGCAGCCTAATCGATTAATATCGAACCCCACAATACGCGCCCTTCACCGAAGGTATGTTATCCAAGATGTTTTAACCTCAGTCTCGCTGGACAGTTGAGAAGTAAATGTCGAGATGTTTTCATCACATCTTTCTCAGAAACTCTGACATTATGTCCTTCAAAACATGTAGCTTTACCGTATGTTTGACTAGTGTTTACATTAGCATTTACATTTTCCTCTGGACCAGAAAGAACTAGCAGAACTGTTGTTGACCGAGCCTACCCGATGCTCAATTGTGTAGTGTAGACCATATTAGAACACGTCGTGACGTCATGAATGAAAGAAGACTTTGTTTACAATTACTATACACGTTTCACTTAACAGATTATAATTCAGTTAATCACAATCTTGTATTCATCATCACTGGGTTTTACACGGAGAAGGACGTGAATAATCGTACTTTGATTAAAAAAAAATGTATAAAAACGAAAACTAAGGACCCAAACAAATTTTTTTCAACTTTTCAAAATCTTTTATTTATTATATTAATTTGCGATGTAATTATTAAGTTTTATTTTTATACAGTACATACTATAAGTAACTTATAAATATTTCAATACGCTATGGAACACAAGTAAAATATGATTATAAGAGGTTAACTATATAAAAATATTTAGTACGTGATCTAATATAATTTTTTTTAAACTATAAAAGATATCAACCTAGTTTCCAATTAAAATACATAAATATTTTCGAAACTAAATATCTCTCCAGCTAAAACTTAGTAATATTTATAGAACCTAGAACTTATACTTACATAAGTGGAGCTCAAAACTTACATTTAAGTGAAGAATATTATAGTAAAGCATTTTATAATCTTAGGAGGTGAGTTAATTGAAACCGAATGGGTATAAGATTAAGGAGTTTAAGATTTATACATACTTTAGCTTAAGATACTTAAATACATGCTCACAATATTTATATTAACATTTCAATAAATATGCGCTAATATTTATTAAATAAGTTTCATCATAATCGAGAATCCAACCTTATTTTGTAATAGATTTTAATATGCACGGTTTTGAGTTTAGTTTTTAACTTGAGATAAGTGTATTCATGTTAAAATACATCAGAACAGTGGAGCATTTTGCATAAATTGACAATTTTAAATTAAGTTTTATTATGTTATTTAAAATTCTTTATACTTTGTTTCGGCCTAATTAAATTTGGTTACTCTTATGCTTACGGATTTTTTTTTTAACTTTTATTAAATCGTCTCATTTTTTTTGACATTTAATATCTACTGTAAAAATAACACACAACTATTTCTATTACCTAAGACTTATATAATATAATTACATATAATAATCATATGAACTGTTTCCGTAAGGAAATTGACGGCAACTGACGGTCTCAAAAGCGCACACTTTGGCATTGGCATTCCGTTTACTGGCTTTTATATATGTTCATGTTCATATTTCATTACATAAGTATGTTAAGTATAAATTCACAAACATATTTTTTATATCAAGTTTATATCAAGATTTAATAATGAATATTTTTCCCACCTTTGGCATTTTTTAATTCAAGTTCTGTGCAGAAAATTTAGCGAAATAGACATTACTTTGTAAAAAAAACAGACACAACTCGAACTAAAAGTCCTGAAAAATGGATAACATTTTATTACGTAAAAACATTTACTGGTAAGAAATTGTTCTGACTTCTTCATAATGAATTTGTATGTTTAGCGAGTTGTAAGTTAGTCGTCGAATTCGGTTAATTGTTAATACCTTAAGGTACACTCCTAGTCTGAAACTAAAAAAAAAATCATTTATATTTATACCTTCAAAAGTAACATACTAAAATTTTTAATGAATATTTAAAATAATATTTGAGTTACACTCTTTTAAAGTGTAGTTGTCAATAGTCAATATAGGCAATCAGTTTATCCTTAAACACGTTTTGCTCGAAACAAGATTTTAAGAATTTTTTCTCGGAGACAAATGATCCGAAAACTGAGAAACTTTTTTTGCATGTTCTGCATATACCTACTTCGCCATACAAAGACCTAAAACGTTTATAATCCATCAAAAATCAAAGTTCGGCAAGCCAAAAACGCCAAATTTGGGTAAAACTCAACTTTTTTTTAACGCCCACATTTTGTAAGTTTTTAATTTTTTTCGACCGTATATCATTGTATGGACAATATCCTTAGTGAGAATTTTTTTTAGGTTTTATCCACGCAGAAGTCCGGCATCACTGCTCGAAAATATTCAATTTTTTTCTTAAAAAAATTTACCGTGTATTCTTAAAATATGTATAACTGTACCCTTAAAATTTTAAAACAATTGATACAGTTAGTTTTGATTTCTAAAAATTCCCTTTTTAGGCTTTCACACTATTTGTGCCACTTAAGCCGTTAACTACCAGCTAATTTAAAGTTAGAAACGTTTGGAGAAAATAAATAAATTAAACACTTTTCAACATTTTCTTGAACTGGAAGCATGCCTTCATACCTTCTAAATTACGCTACCACAATTGTGTCTTCCATGCGGCGGATTGCATTGATGAAGAGGCACATACATAGAATATAACAATCTTGAAATGCGAAAGGTAAAAACAATGGCGATAACAAATAACATAAAATTTAGGATTTTATTATATACGACAAAAATTGTTTTTGTGCGTCCTCGTAATTGGAAAATAGAATTGTAATTGGATTTCAAGAGCATTTTTAAGTATGTTAAAATTTACACTTAGGTTTTTTGTCATAAAAGCATGTAAAGTTTGTTAAAGATTCTTCCGAAAGCTTAATCAATATCCATAGATAGAATATAAAACTAAAAATTATTAAACTTGTTTTTTAACTGCTTACTATCACTAAGCAGCTAAGTTTCTGCTGGAAAAGCGTTTCCCAACCCAAAAACAAGCTGAAAAGAGCACAAGCTGAGAGCGTAAGAAACAAAGAGAACTGCTAGTTTCTGCTCAGGTTGTATCGATAGCTCAAAAACAAGAATCTCTTACAGTGTTTTAATCCATAATGTCAAAACAAGCTGTTTTGCTTTGTTTTTATGATTCAAAATTTAAATTTTTCAAAGATTTCAACCAATGAGTTTTTGTTGGGTAAGGTTAATGAGTTTTCTGAGTATTGACTAAATACGAACAGATGGTTAAATCATTCAAATATAAACAAGAAATTTATGAGAAAAACAAAAGAAAGTTTGTTTGACATTATGAATTCAAAAATTGTGGTAAGAGGAAGCACTCTCGGAAGTAATACAAGCTTGCTTTTGGTCTCTTCCGTCTTGCAAACTCAAAACGAACACACTATTTTAATCTTTAGAACAAAACGTTGCACTGAAGCTATAATACTCTTCACAGTGGCAGGGTAAACAAATTTTTCGGAGATTGTACCGTTGCCTTAAACAATAATTCGAGCGAAATTTCGTGGATATCAAATAAAAAAGTTTTCCATACAAGGACATGATTTTGATCAATTAGTATGCTATAGTGGTTCAATCTAAACAATTTCTTCGGATACTGTGCCGCTGCCTTGGAAAATAATACATCCCAACCTTCGTAAAGATATCTCGTCGAATTAAAAAGTGTTCCATATAAGGACATGTATGTGATCGTTCAGTTTGTAGAGCAGCTAAGTGCTACAGCAGATGAGCAGCTTCTTTGGGAGAAAATTTCAGATAGATATCCCAAAACCTGAAAAACTAGTTCGCGACTCAGCTCGTCATGCTGATCAATTATATATGTATATATTTTAGAGGTTTTCCGACGTTTCCTTCTGGGTGTTACAAACTTTGTGGTAAACTTAATATAGCCTGTTCAGGATTTAAAAGTAAAATAAATAAAAATTCGGATAGAATAGACAGCTATCGACGAACGCATTGTTTGTATATTTTGGCAATTCGTATCTTTCATAATCTCAGACGCAAACTGCTTAGAATTATTTTGAACTTGAAAACGGCAAATGTAAAGCAAATTTTCATTAAACTAATATAAATTTTAGTTGAAACTATTATTATCGCTGATTACACGGATAATACGCACTAATTTGAATTATACGTAATTACGAATATATCAAGTTCCTTAATGGCAGCAACTACCATATCTACTCACAATATAACAAAATATTGACATACCATTACAACTACACACACATCTAAACTACATATACATATATATCTAATTAAAATCTGTCATATCCCGGAAAGGGCGTCACATGTGCTCCTTACACAATAGCAGCTTATACTTTGTGTAAATATTCAGTCAACTTTGTTTTTGCTTTTAAGCGCATTTTGGACAATTTTTAATTGCATATTTAATTTACAAAATAATTTAATGGACAATGTGCAATTTTTTTTATGACAATTCTTAATATAATTCTCTTACAAAATATTGTATGTGTTTTAAAAGTCATACCTTATGATCGTTGAATAATTTCTGCATAACCACAATTGAAATGGATGGCAAACATTTGCTGCGCTCCTGAATACATGCAAACACATATACTCGTACATATATGGAAAGTATATTAACTTTAAAAACGCTCATCATCGCACATGACTTGCTTGAATGATGAGCAATGAAACTGAATTTAAAATATTGCAACTAAAACTTAACGTTATACTTTAAAAGTGAGCGTTGTGTGGGAGCGCGCAGCTATGGGCGGGCACTGGTACTTAATACTGAGCATTTTATTCTAATTTCTATTTGTTTTTTATATCTTTCGCTGGCAATGTGTGCAACATGTGCATACAGGGTGCTAAATAGCAGCTAAAAACTTGGCCAAATGTTGCAATGATTGATGATGACGCTTAAACGCGCTTTTAGGTGCTGCGCTGGTTGTTGTTGTCGCCGAGCAAGTCCTCAATTGCGCCGGTTAGACGTCCTTTGCTCAGCGCATCCACGAGCATGCGCAGACGTTCCTCACGCTCCGAATGGCGACGCTCCAATGACGAAACCTGCGTTTATGTAAGACAAAACGAAAATAATATATTAAAAATTATTATTATGTTGTAATTAACCTACAGTAATTTCCTGTTATACTCGTAAATAAATAACTTCAATTTCTAACGTGAATAGTTCAAATTGCAATGTTACAAAGTTGTATTTAACTAGAAAAACGTTATTTCGTAATACTTAGTTAAGTATGATTGAGCAACACACACATAATAATACTTTCGAGATCGAACTCTGAAGTAGTAAGAAGCGCAGCACAACAAAATATTATTATGTAATAGTTAATTAGTTGCACTCGTATATTAAATGATAAATGACCGAAAGAGCGAATAAATGCGTGGCAACTAATAAACTCTTTAACAATTAAAGCTAAGCGGAAGGAAGCGACTGCAAAAAGCAAAGCGAACATGAAAAAAACCGCTTTAAAAAACATAAAAATGCCAAAAATTACAATTACAAAAATACAGTACATACGCGCAGGCATACATACATGTGTATATGTTACAAAAATCATAACAATCATAAATAATAGATTTCCAAAGGAAATATACTATAAGCATTGTGCCAAACATTATATGGCAATTAAAAAGCAACAAAAATCACATAAACGCCAACAAAAACTAATAAAATCATTTATAAGTATATTACGTTGTCGCATATAACACGCTTGAGTTTTACTGTTGTATTATGACTCTTGTAAAAGTTTTGCATTTCATATGATTTTTTTATTTTTATTATTATTTTGTTTTTATTTCTTTATTTGTTTGCTTTTCTTCTGCTCGGACATTCAGCGAAGCGCATGTTTTTTGACAGACTTTATTTTCTTTTTCACTGTTAAGATACTAATGTTGCCGCTGTGGCAGCTTTCCAACGCCGCTTTACATTCCGTTTGCAACTCTGCGCGTTCGCTAATGCTACTGTTATCCAGCAGACTAGCATTGCTCGTGCCACTCACCTTGGCTTTCAGCGCATAGTAGTCAACTGGCAATTTGCGGCGTTTTTGTGTGGCAAAAGCTTCGTCGCGTTCGTTGAGCCGTTGCTGTAGTACGCGTACCGTTTCATGACACGAGGCCAACTCACGTTCATGGGCACTCTGCAGCGTCTTCAGCTGTTTAAAATGACAAAGCGTGGAATTTTTTTAGTGAATATATAAAATATGCATACTTTAAAGTGTTTTAGTATTTTAATGAAAAATTGCTTGAAAGTGCACGAGCAGCAAGTAATTCTTATGTTGCACTTACGTCGTTCAAACGCTTGTCATGTAGTATTTTATAATCTGATTCCAACAGCTTGAGTTTGTTTTGCGCTTCACGCAGCGTTTGACTCTCTGTGGTAGCGGGCATTTGGTCGCTGTGCGCTTGGTTGTGATGCAGTGCCTCGTGACTACGCCGTGCAATATTTAAGCACGTATAGCTGTTCCACTGTGACTTATCGGATTTTTGTGCTGTTTTGTGGGAAATAGAAAAGAAGACATTTTGTAAAAATTTGCGAAGAGAAGTTTGATAGATAGTATGTTAACGGAATAAATTTATTTAAAAAACCAAGCCCAGAAGGAAACTGGGTAAATAAGATGAAATGATCAGCGTGACGAGCTGAGTCTATTTAGCTTGGTCCGTCTGTCTAGTCTCTTAGTTTTAGATCTATCTTATCGATCTGAAATTTTGTACCCGTCCTTTTTTAAGCAAAAAGCTGTTGAACGGCCGATATCGGACTACTGTAGCATATAACTGCCATACAAACTGACCGATCAAAATCAAGCCCTTGTATGAAAAACTTTTTTATTTGAGAAAATATCTTAACAAAATTTGGTCTAGATTATGCCCCAAAGCAACGCTTTAATTTGAGAAGAAAATTTTTAGATCGGACGACTATAACATACCTATACATAGCTGTCATACAAATAGACCGAACCAAATCAAGTCCTCGTAAATAAATCTTTTGGATTTGAAAATATTATATATCATTACAAAATTTTGCATAGATTATTGCCAAAGTCAACGCTATAATCTTTAAACAAATTGTCCAGAAAAGACTACTATAGCATATAGCTGCTATACAATCAGATAGAACAAAATTAAGTTCTTGTATGGAAAATTTTTTATTTGTGAAGGTTATTATAGCATCGGTGCAATCGAACTTAACGTTTTTTCTTGTAGTTTTTACAAATTTTTATCATTACCAATATTTCGAATACAATTTTGATTAACAATTGGACAATGGCGCCACTTAACCTCCAACCAACACATACATTTCATAGAAATCAGCTCATATTAAGTCTCATACAAACATATGGTACATACATACATAGTGCTTTTAATAATAATTTTGAACAAGAAAGCACTCTGGCGGAAATATATAAACTTTTTTTGTTTCGAAAAGTCTTAGTACCTTAATCTTATAAAATTTAAAATATATCATATATACTATTTGATCATTTTGTTTACTTTATTTGGTTTAACTATTCCACTCAAACTTGCTTCTTACCATACTAACAAGCACCGTATTATATTAGTTGACGTGCTAAAGCACCCAGCCACTTTCTTCGTCCTCAAACAATCAACACAACACATTTATACACAAATTTATGCGCGTAAATTTCACTTTTACAAAACGCGTGTATCTTAGTGACATCTTCTTATGCAGATCAATGCACTATTATGCCACTAACCCCACCCACATGTTTACCATTAGCACTCACTTTTGCCAATGCCTTATTTCAGTGTGTCTGAAGTTTCTTCTTTTAGTTACTAAAAATTATGCAGCAATTTAAAATTGTAATTTCTTCCCGCTACCAAACATCAAAAAAGTTTGTACACATAAAAAACAAAACGTTATATAATAAGCAACGCGATTAGTTTTGAAAACGTCGTCAAAATAGCCGCAAAATAACGAATTAATTAAAAAATCGAATGTAAGCCGATAATAAATGTGTAAAAACAAAAGCAGTAAGATACTGGGTATTGTCAAAGGCACTCCGTAGAGCCTGCTACTTTCGCTTTCAAAACAAAACTTTTTCTTTCGGCGCAAAGAGAGACAGCAAACACAACAAAAAAAGACAGCGAAAACAAAAAACCTAAAAATAAATAAAAGAAAAAACACTGCATACATTATAGAGGTTATTAACAATAGACAAAGTCAAATGGAGATGATCAATAAGGCACGCTGCGTTGACTGCTGCAAAATGTTGCGTTCGCTGACATAATAGAGTGAGCGTGTAATGCATGCGCGGGCGCCGTAGCAGTTTGCTCGTATGCGCATGCTTCCGCTGGCAATGATAACGACGGCGACAAATTTAAATGCGACGCACGTGTCGTAGGTGCGCTTATGATTAATAAAACAAAAACGAAACGAAACGTTATCTATGCCAAGTAAATTTTACATGCGTATATATATAATAATGCGCAAGTGATTGAAAGAAGCTACTACACACATACTTTGGTATATGTACAACCGCCCTTCTCTGCACACAACGCACAAAAAATAATTCACCCAAATGTATTGCACAAGCGCTACGTTTATAAAGTTTTTTTTTGAACACACTCTAGCAATTTATTTCCCATTTCTTTGTACAGGTATTTGATTGAGCAGAGAAAGTCAATTAATCAATGGCATAAATTTACTCTGAACCATCAACAGTTCATGCAAACGCCACGCGGCGCAACCTAACATTAAATAATCGAAAACGTCCATTAATGGAAAACTTGACAGCAGTTTAGGGAAGCACTCGCTTATTGGACGCCCGCACGTGCAGCGCATTCACCGTTATGTATGCGTACACTACAGTTACATATATATACAAGCGTCATATTGACATGCTCACCGTCTTTCTCGCGTTGCAATTTCTTTATTGTCTTCTTGCACTCCTCCAATTCGCGCGTCAAGCGTTGCATGGCCTTGTCCTTGATCGCCAAATCGACGCGCATGCCGCGTATGGTGGCCAGCAAGTGTGCATCCTCTTTAGCCGATGCGTGTGCGTGATGTGCGGAAATTGTCAAATCTGAATGTGAGACAGGCAATTTCGATGCTAGGGCTGAGCTGAGTGTGCCCATTGCGGTAGCGAACGGTTTGCGTATGCCGCTTTGCTTCGAGTTTGGCCGTGAGGTGTTGGGCGTTGAGTTGGCGGTGCTGCTGGTGCTTGAGCTCGCTGAGTGTACGGTGCTCGAGGTGCCAATGGTGTTGGTGCTGTGATCGCGTGTGTTCTTCGTTTGTACCGTTTGTGTACCGGTAGTGTTGGTGCAGTTGTTGTTGGCATTGGCGGTGGCAGTGGTGCTGGCGTTGGCGTTGCCTCTATCGCCAGTTGTGTTTACACTGGCGCGTTTGGTTATATCGCCGCTGCAGCCTGCCTCATGCTCATCGGCCACTACATTGGCGTCTGTTTGCGTGCAATTGTTATAGAAGTTCTCAGCCTTCTTGGAGACAAAGTAGTCAAGCGTGCGCACTTGCGATTCGATCTTTTCATTTAGTTTCGTATTGATCTCCTGTAGGCTGTTGGAACGTTGATTTCAATATTTATTAAAAATAACAATTTGACATGTGAAGTCATGAACTTACCTTAGCACTTGTGTTTCCAGATCAGCTATGTGTGTCTCATATTTGGACTGCACTGAGTTGAAGCGCGCCTGCACATTTGCGAGTATTTGTTGTGCTTTTAAGTCTTGCTCCTTTGCATCCGACTCCAGCTGCGCAATACGCTGCTCCAAGAGTTTGCGGCTGTTGACATTCTCCTGGTCATTGCTCGCGCACTTGCCGGAATTTTTTGAAGCAACTGTAAGATATAAACAGAATTTAGTTGAATCACTAATCTAACTGCTATATATGGCTTACCTATTAGGGCCGAAACCGAGTCCGGATGCTTGCGCATCAGTATACGCTCCATTTCACGGCACTGCCGCTGCAGATCTTGTATGGTTTTGGCCTCTTTATCTTTGAGTTCCTGCGTACGCTTCCTATCTTGTCGATTCTCCTCCAGCTCACCCTGCAGCGTTTTCTGCAAGTGCAACGCCTCATCGCGATCGGCGCGCGCAGTTTGCAGCTCGGTACGCAATATATTGGCACATTCGTTCAGATGTTGCACATCCAACTTAAGCATTTCAGACTCTTCTTGCAATTTCGTGTTACTTTCACGCAGATCGCGATGCAGCTGTGACAGCGAATCGTGTTGTATGCGTAGTGATTTTAGACGCTCTTCGGTGTCCTTTAGTTTCTCCTGCAATTGTTCGATTTCGTGCTTCAGCGCATGCTCTCGGCCCACATTCGCCGCAAAAGGTTCAATGGGCGAGGTGAGTGCGGAGATCATGCGCTTGGGTGACGAGTTTACTGACTTGTCACAGTACGTTTTGGCTGGTAGCGTTGTGGAGAGCATTCTATGCGGGCTGTACGGACCAGGCGTGCACGATTGTGAGGACTGTGTTTGGCTGATGCCACTGTCTGGCGTGGTCATGGAAGAGCGTTGTGCGCTTGCGCAATAGCCACCCGAGCTACGACGTTCCAGCATGCTGGGACTGCTGTGTTGCAAGCCGCCAAAGGTGAGTGGATTGCGACGTGCCGGACTGCCGCCGACCAGCTGCATCTGTGTTTGTGATGCGTAGTTGACGCTATGCGCTTGCTGTGTAGTGGATATTGGCTGTTGCTGATGTTGTTGTGAGTGCTGCAGCATTGCGTCGAAACTAGGTCGGCGTGCCGTCACGTTTACGTTGCCGTCTTCACTTTGTTTTAATTTTGTTTGCGCGGCTATATGCAATGACGTCGACATAACGGATGATGACGATGACCCTGATAAATGCCCCGTGTAGAAGGTTGTTGTGGTTGTTGCGGTATTGGCGGCATTCTCAGCGGTATTAGCATCCAGAGAACTGCCATCGGCGCTCAAAGTGTCGGCGTCGCCATCCGCATCGTCTTCGAGTTCGTTGGAGTAGTTGTTTGCCGACACTTCATCCACCGCGTTCGACCCACTTGAATGCGCATTGTTGACCTCTACCGGCTGCCCTTCATCATTCAATATTAGTTCAATGTTTTCAATACCTTCCGTGATTTCCTCCATCTGTTAGCGGTAAGCGTGTTGGGAAGAGAAGAAAAATTAAATTTTTTTACTTGCCCACTTCAACGTCAATAATATATGATCAGAAAAAGTAATGCCTTTTCTAAAGCTCAAGCTATTTGAAAATAACCGTTAGACGTCGAGACGAGTCCCCATTTCATTTTACTCATTCTGCCTTTCCCGAAATTTTTTTTAAAGTTTTCCATTCCGACATATACATACACACACACGTAGGCATGTCTATAAACGAGCTTGTTTGGAAATATCAACTGAAGCAGAAGGCTGCTGGCAGCATTGATAATAATAATGTTCCACGTACAAGCTAGCGGTGGGTGTACAGCATGTGAAAGCGAAATCCAGTCAATTTTCGTAATTGCAAATTACCATTAGCTGTCATTTCTCACCCTTAGAAAGGGCGTTTCATTGAAGATTGTGGTAACTACGCTCTCATCTTTCTGATTGTTAAAAACTTTGTGGAAATTTCTCGTGTTGCGCGACACAAGTGCATTGCGTAATGGCAAATCGATTATAATTGAACCTGTCAGGCAGAGTTTTCATTAAAGATGATTTGCTGGAAATTTAAGTGCTTTAGAGCAGTCGACCTGGAGCACTTGCCTGTTGGCGCATTAGATGTTACTTTAGAGACTTCGCTCCTTTCTTTATAAATATTAAATATTAGATAGCTATAACCAGATATATGACAGTGTTTGGCTTCATGGCACATAATTAATACCGGGATGCCAAACAAAATAACTTGAAGCAATTGATCTCCTGTCGAGGCAGTTTTCCTTCCCTTTCTTATATTGAAAATATCTATATCTTAATGTTGATGAGGATATTTCTATAGGCAGGGAAACCAAAATCGAAGACGTTTATAAATACATACAGCTTAGGAACTGATCGAGGTTCCAAAATAAAGTGTAGTCAAGTTAGGTTAGCTTAGGTAAATAAGCTGATTTTTCGTGAGGCCACGAATAATTCCACTTGAACAGCTAAAGCCGCTGTGATGCGTCTGGAGCCTGCCACAAATTTATTAACGCGACTCATATATGAATTTCAGTCAATTCGCCGGGTTCGTCGAAAGTATGGCAACCGAGATGCTTCAACCTTAGTCTGGTGAAAGCTGGTTAGTGGAGGAAAAAGATTAAGTAGCAGAGTATGCAGTCGTTGGATATTTTGAGTAAACATCACTGCTACATTACTTTGGAACGATTTTGTGGAGAATAGAGACTATTCTATCTACGTATGAATAAGGAGTAAACACAAAGCTGAGTGGTTTCAATTGATCTGTGATTTTGACAATCACTCTGCAAAGTAAATATCCGTTGATAAATAGAGCGGGTAGAAATCGACACATTCCCTGATTAAGATTTTATATATGTACTAGCGGACCCGACTAAAGTGCTACAATAGTTAACTGAAACTCAAATATATTGTACTTTTGAATATCTGGCATGACTGCAGCGCTACTGAAACTCACGACAGCGTAGTCTGCCGGAATTCTCTAGTTGATAGAAATGTGAATATAAACCATTCTCAAACCATTTTGAATACACACAAAAAATTTAATTGGAATCAGTCCAGCCGTTTAGAATGAGTTCAATTACAAACACACGTACAGACGATTTATATATATATATAAAGAAGATCTATTCATTTCTCGTATACTGTTTTCAAGTAGTTAATAAAAATTTATATATAATATATAGTATTTCCTTTAACTCATGTGACCATATTTGTCCCAGGAAAATCCTTGACGATTTTTTTTAGTCATACATTTCTTATATATTATAATTCACTGAAAATCGCGACATATTATATAATATATGAGAGAGCAACACAATTTTATTCAATTCATTGTTTTTTTTAAGCTCGGGACGGCCGGAACGCCTAACTCGGAATCCGGACTGTTCCGGCCAAACCGGGACCAATGGTCAGCTAACTTTAACTTCCGTTTGGAGTGTAGCACCTTCTCGAGCATTGTTATCTTGTCGCAATGTGGGAGCTCATCAAGTACAATAGTCCTGAGAGCGATGACGACGGTAGTAACACAATCCTTCTGCGAGGCTGGTCGTAGCGTCTGTTCACATGATAGTGACAGCAACAGCAGGCATCTGTCTTGGAGCAAACGTGTATATTTCTGTGCAACAACAACAATATCTATGATTATTCCCAGCTGGATAACAGTTCAAAAACGAAGTGCAGCATCTTCGACGTTAGTATACGGAACCATCGCAAATACAAAAATACACTATTGTTAGCCATATACTGTTGCAAATATGTAGATATGTACATATATGTATCAGCTTTGGAAATTTTTTCCTATGATCAATTTTTCTTCTACATACCACAAATGGCCGTGCGTTATTTTAAAACAACGCGAAACCACTTTCCATTTTTTCTTAAACAAGAAGAAAAGTGCTTTAAGTTAATGCCATACAGTAGTTCACATTTCTATTATAAGCATTTATCTACATACATACATACAATACATGTAAGTGCATTGTCTATTGTACAAAATCCAGAAAATCCACTAAGACGAACACAGCAAGCAGTTACAACAATAAACGCTGTCACTTTCAACGATGCCGCATGCGATGCCACCACCAGCAAGCAACCATAATGTGCACCACCGTTGAACCAGTGCGACAAGTAAACAAAACGGCCAACTCTTTACCACTTTCATACATCCATACATACATATATACGAGTACATATGTTTAAGAGCGAGTGGACGGGCGAGTGTGCTTACAGCTCGAGCACTCTGAGCTGAGTTTTTCGCCGTACCAAAGCATTAACCCATTTTTCGTCTATCGGAACATTTAATCTCAACCTGGTCACAATGGCAAAAGCAAAATAATAACAATAACAATAATAATAATGTGGTGCATGCAGCTTGGGCAGGTGTTTAGGCCAAGCTTCTGCGTCGATACATATAGGCATACCAGTGAAGTACTACTTGTGGCTACACGCGCTACAACAACACTAAAGAAACTGTTGAAGGTGCCACGCTTGAAACGCTACGGATTAGAAACTATTGAATTTCGATAGCCTTAGCAACGGTCCGAGCTTAAAGTAACAACACGAGCAATGGACCGTAATATGTTCGGCGCAGTGTGATCTTCAAGCCGTAATACCCTGCTTTGTGCTTATGACAATCACACATTTTCAATTTCGAACTCTGCTTTTAATATTTTTCGGCGCTAACCCCCTCAGCCTGCTGGTGTCTCGCTAGATAAGTGTTCGTAAAGCTTAACTTGAGGGTATATTTTGCTGGTTTTTTCCTAAACTTTGCTGTGCCTGTCAAGTGTTCAATAGAAATTCAGCATGATTTGCTATTTAATTATATTTGCGCGAATTTCTTTGGAACTTTATCGAAAATTGCTTGTATATACCTACGAGCATATTGGATTTCTGAGCTAAGCGTTTTCGCTAAGCCAATTCAAGCGGTTGACTGGCTCGTAAAACGCCAGCGGCATAAAAGCGAAATTATAAAATCTTAACGAAGATAAAAATACCGTTGAGGACAATTTCACTACTTGAAATTAGATTTAGTAATGTGAGCAGAGCAGATTGTGACACTAGTAAGCGACTTGGCTTCGATAGGAAACCAAGAGTGTTTCATTATAGAAGTGAAAGGTGTTAAAGATCACATGATTTCTATTGTATAAACATATGCATTGCTTCAAGTGAGGACAGTAATTATTTCTTAAGTGTTCACATTTGCAAAATAAAACTAAATTTCAGAATAAAACTGAACGGCAGCATTTGCGGCAAGCGAAAGTGAGACCAATACTTATTGATCGGCATATAAATATGTAATTACAACAAATTACTTCAATACTCAGGCGGATGTGTTACCGAAGTTACACCTTATCACATAAAAAAATCAAAAGTTCGTATCGTCTTTTGTAGAAACGAGCCATTTACTTCGGTTCGGAAACCAGCTGTTAACTTTGTTTGCACCGAAGCTATACTACCCTTCACAAATCAAAAAGTCGTCCATACAAAAACTTAATTTTGATCATTCAATTTGTATGCCAGCTATATTCTATGGTAGTCCGATCTGAACAATTTCTTTCTAAAAATGTATCGTTGCCTTAAACAATAATTCGAGCCAAATTTCGTGAAAATATATTGTTAAATAACGAAATTGAAGGAATTCTTTTTGATTATCAGTTTATAGATGGTAGATATATGCTATAGTAGTAAGGTATCGGCGGTTTCACAAATGCGGCTTCTAGATAAAAAAAAATGATGGCGAAAAAAAGTGTGCAAAATTTCAGATCTATATTTCAAAAACTAAAGGACTGATTCGCACATATACAGACAGACAGACGGACATGGCTAAACCGACTTAGTTCGTTACGCTGATCATTTTTATAGGCATATATATTTTAGAGGATCTCCGACGTTTCCTACTGGGTGTTACAAACTTAATATCCCTGGTTCATGGTGTAAAACTTCTAAACATGATTTGGCATAACCCAAAAATGATTGACGAACTGAAACTCTAAAAGGACACGACAATCGTTCATGAAAATTTGGGTTTATGATTATGTGCAAAGCCAATATTGTGCGCACTCGTTGTCGATTGATTCAGTACACTCACCGTATTTTTTTGAATTTAGCCTCAGTAGCTCAACAGAATACTTGCTGAAAAGCAATTTAGCGACATCATTGTCGTCGAGGTAATTACTGAAGCAGCACCTATATTAAAACGAAGGTCTTTTTTATTGCAAAAATTATATCGATAACTTGAAATATATCGGCGCAAACTAAATTTTCTTTCTTTATAAATACATCTATTTCGATAGACATCAAGATCAATCATTAAGACCTTAGTATCACCAATCTCAGTTATTGCTAAAGGGTGTTTTATTTAGACGTGAGGATGTTGATTTGGACGACCTTTGGTGCCAAAAAGACGGCGATACATGCCATACAGCTCACGAAACAGTCAACTTATTGAAAGAAACTTTTGGTGAGCGCATTAGCTCGCGTCGTGGGCCTGTGCCACTGACTGACACTACGCAGATAAGCCGGAGATGATTGGCGCCTTGGATGAGAATATTCGGGACGTTATTGCTGGAAAAAGTTATTGAAAATTGGGTCTCTCGGCTGGAACTTATTCGAGACAGCCGCGGCGGTCACTTGCCTAAAATCGTTTTTAATACATAATGAAAATCTTCTTGAAAACCACATGTCTAGAACAAACATGTTTTAGATGATCGATGGTTTTATGATGATTTAAAAAAAAAAGGGAATTTTATAACACCTTCTTTGAAATCCATTTAATTTCCAATAGATAACTTAATCATTAAAGGGGGGGTTTAAGTTTTTTTTTTCTAGCATGGTGAGAATAAAGTTTCACAAGAGTATAAGCAGATCTCTCTGTGTTCTAAATGTTTTATGGCTTATGGATCGCCTTTTTGCAGATTTGTTAAAATATTTAACTTCGACTTTAGCCTTTTTCAACTTTTAGCTACTTAACAGATTTTCAAATAACCAATAATCGGGTTACCGACATGAAATTCCTATATAGAGTAAGCAATTTATATGATAATTGGCTATAGGTAGTTAATACATACCACATTTTACAAAAGAAAAAGAGAAGATAATAATGTTGGATTTTTTCTTTGCAGAACAATAAAGTGGAATTCAAAAAGATTTATTGTTGTGTTAAATTTAACTATTATATATACTGGGGCAGTGAATGCATGATCTACATACATACATAAATACATACATATTTATCGATTCGATCGATAACCAAACAAAAGGTAGATTTAAAAATGCTACTAGAGAAACTAGGTCTACAAAAACAAAAATAAACTATTAAGCACATGTAACTGAATATAAAAAGTAAATATCAGATTGGATCCACATATTTGTATATAGTATCTATATTTGTAAATATGTAAGTGCAAATGAAAATATTTACAATAAAAAGAAAGAAGAAGAAAATTAAAAGATTATTACACAAATATGTTAAGTAAATAGCGAAAAGCAAATAAGAACCTATTGATCGTAGATATTTATATTTATATTATTTCTTAGCTTTTGCCTTACACATCTTCTAAGTTTATAAAAGAACTTTATTTGCAGACAATTTACAGGTAAATGACTTTGACATTATGGTGGGGTCGTTCGATAAGTTATGTGAATGCGCTTTGGCAGAGCAATCATTAGCTAATGTATTCGATTTTTATTCACAACTTTTTGAATTTAAAATTTGAAGTGATTCTTAGGTATTAATTCTTTTTTACATCTTTTGAGTAGTGCTCTCATCTCAATTTATTGCCGGCAAATTTGGGTGCTGTGAGTGACGCACATTGGCGAGAGGTTCCATCAGAAAATTTTCCTGATGGAGAAGCTCTATAAAGGTAAATGAAGCGCAGGAATGCTTGCAGATTTTAGTTGGAGAATTCAACAAGACCTTTCAGAACCAAAATATTCACGGGAATGGTAAGTATAATTTTTTCTGATGTCTAAATTTTTCTCATTCACATATTATTGTTTGTGGTCCTAGTACATACAAAATTTAATATAAGTTGTCATGTGACAAAAAAGTTAAAGTTTTATTAACCAGTGTATTTAATCGACAAAAATGTTATAAATATAACTGAGTCTCGGTGGAGTCAATCCCTAACTTGCTCAACAAGCAGTCAAACGTGGTATGAATGGAATATGGGCCGCACATACCGCCTATTAAAATTCAAAAGGCATGATATAAGAACTTTAGTAGGAGTGCTAACAGGACACTGTCTAATTGGCAGACATGCCAGCAGACTGGGAATACTATACAACGATTATTGTGAAGTTATAAAGCTGTCTAGGAAGAAGATACTATACGATTAGAACATCTTCTATGCGAATGCAAGGAGGTTCTACAAATAAAAATGTTTGTACTGATGAGCTTCATCAGGCGGTTCAGATGAGACATAATAGAGTGAGGTGATTTAGTGGCGGTAGTTTCACAATTGGACGTTTTACCAATTGATTCAAAATCTAAAACAAAAAACACAATTAAAAAATTCGTATTAAGAGAAGAATTCAGAAGCTGCTTGAGGATTATTAAGAGAAGCTAAACTAAAATCGCTAATATTTTCAATAGTGAATTAGTGAGGGGCACGTGTTCCTGTTTCAAACTTTAGTTGGAGATACCTTTAGCTTTCAAAAATATATTCTTTGCGAGTGACTCTTACTTAACATACCCTTGGTTACATTGCACAACAATACCATTATATAGAACCCCCGCACACAAAATAATTGTCTTTCCCTAGACAATTGTTTTTCTTCTAGGAAAAATAATCTAAAAGGAATAAAAAAGTATCAAGATATATGCACCATATACATGTATATAATGAAACTGCAAATGAGCGAAAATTAATCTTAAGAGCTAGTGATATTTAAAGCGGAAATGCGCACACACAAGCGCACAAATACGCGTATGTCGCGCTGCGCGACTATTATGAATTCATGCCAAATGACAATATTAAATGGTATTAAGCGCACACACACACATTCTCGAATATATTGACGAGAGAAACGTTCAACTTCAAGTACACACACACACATATATACTGATGGGCGAGTGCGCGCTTGCGCGTTATAAAAGTCATTAAGAAAGTAATGCTCACCGCGCACCATCAGAATTAAACATAATAGCTGATGCTGAGCGCAAGAAAGAAAATAAAATGTCGCTGAAGATCAACAGAGAAGCGAGCGTCGTGGTGCTAGCAACATGGTTAAATACAGAAATAAAAATTTAACGAGCTTAATGATAAGCGCTCATCAATCAACAGCGCGCCGAGCAGCAGCGGTGCTGTAAAACCGTGAGTGACACTTGACTCTCAACAAAGAAATTACAAGCTACACACATACAAATATATATGGGGTGTACGACGTCGCTCTATCGAGCTTTGTTGAGCTAAGCGCTGAGCACGCCACGAATTATAAGCGGTTTCAGAGCGCATGCGCATCAGCGGCGCCTCAAATTCACGTCATCTTTGGCATCCCATTCATATACACATCACGCTCTGGTATTTGCCTTAAACTCTCAACTCTAAATGACCAAGTGATATTTGTGTGGTTCAAAACAAATTTTAAGTATCGCCAACAATAATGAACGGAGAAGAAAGACAAATAACAAATGGTAAAAACGTTGGCGACAAAACATAACAAGGCTAGCTAGACGGTGGCGGCGTAGCCACTACACAAGAGACGTGTAGCTAGAGTTACTAGACAAAAGAGACACTAGCAGCAGCAGCAACAGCGGCGACGCCAAAGCTGAGGTGGAACAACATGTTACATGTATTAACGGCAACCAGCGGCGAGCAGTTGCGCGCTGTGTACAACGAAAACGAAATGGAATTACTTTCCCAATCGTGGTATAAAACAGCACTACGGGCATGGAGCTTGTCTTATTAGTGTTTAGTGTCAGATCTCGCAAAGATGTGCGCCGGGAGATCTAAAATGTTTCAAAAATCGACAACGTTGTCGCCTTTAACGCGGTTCGCGTTCTACGCAATCGTACTACTGTTACTTTCCTGCTCCACCCAACGCGCGTCGTCAATGTCACTCGAACGTTTGGGTCTCGATCAGAATGACTTGAATTCGGCGGCCATTGCACCCGCAAACAATTATGAAGAGCAAACGGAAACAGATAATGGTGCCACTGACATTGTGGTGGATGATATGGAATTAGAAGCTGTGCCCACTAACGGCAATACGGATACCTATCTGTTAGTGCCAGCCAGTGGTGCCGCCGAGCGTGAAAGTGTTGAAAAAAATACAATTGAAAGTGTGGGTGATTCAAATGGTGTTGCCGAAGAGCCACAACCCAACGAAGCAACAGATATGTTGATGGTTGAATCCAATGATGCGCCTATGCATGTGTCCTTGCTTGCCGTGCCCGCTGAACAAAGTGAATTGGCTGATGCGGATCAAGTGGCGAAAGCGGAAGAAATAATTAACGACGATGAAAGTGTTATGGACGAACAACTACCCAACTTAGATGATAAAATTTTGGAGATTCCCATCGAACCGGAACTTCAAGAAGTCGTACCCGTAGTCGCTGTAGAAGTACCAGTAGAATCCATTGAAAAAGTGGATAACGGACCCTCATCCGTGGAGGTGGAACATGGTTCACGTAATGAGGATAACGTTAGTGCCGAACATGAAACCATAGCCGACATGATCGCCGATGCGGTGTTGGAAGTCGAAAAAGATATGGAGAATGCGTACTCGGCTGATGAGCTGCCAAGTAATGTACTGCCAGTTGAAAGTGAAATATTGGACGAAAGTCAAGCGAATGCTCAGAAAAACGAAGAAACTGACAATTTCCAGGAAAATGCGGAGCAGGATGCTATCGAAAATTTATCTGCAATGGAAGAGGAATTGCTCCCCGAAATCATTTCAGTGCCCGTGGAAGCAGTGCACATTGAGCAAGAGAAGAGTGAAGAAAATACCGAACCTTTGCACATAAGTGACAGCACAGTAGAAGATGAGAATTTAGAGGAAAACGAAATTAAAGAAGAAGCAAAGGAGCATTCTGTAGAGAATAAAATTACTGAAGAGTCAGCAAGTAAACCCGATGAAATTATTGCAAATGTAGAGCCAGGGCCAGAACACGTTGTGGAAATCCAACCAGAAAGCACTATTAACGAAGATAATCCAAATGTGGAAGAGTTAAGTGTGTTAACCGATACTATTATTCAAAGCCAAAGTGAAGAAAATAAGATCGCAAATAGCAATCAAGAACCTGAAAACAAAAATACAGAAGATTCGACTAAAATAGAAAAAGAAAATGTTTCAGTGCTTAAGGACGAAATAAAAGCAGACGCCAGCGAAGATGGTGTAATGTCTGAAGAGCATGAAGTGAATCCCATGGTGGAAGCCATTGAAAAAGAAATTGATGCCGACCTAGCTGAACGGATTGCAGAGGATAGCAAGCTTGAAGAAACCATTGCTGAGGAGATGACACCAAACGGAGACCATGTAGAGGATAATAAACAAGTTGAAAAAATTACAGAGGATAAACATACTGACGAAACTCAAATCGTTGAGGAAGTACAACAAACAGAAAACGATCAGATTGCAGAGGAAAGTCAAACAGCGGAAGAATTGCAAGCTATTGAAGAAATACAAGCCCCTGAAGAAAACCAGTTGATCGGAGAAACTCAAAGTCTTGAAGAAAACCAATTAGCCGAAGCAGCGCAAAAAACTGAGGACAACCAACAGCAAGTAACAATGGATAACACCAACGTGGCAGCCGAAGCAATAATGCCAGAAGCCGCTAACCACCAATTAGATGAAATTTCGCAGGATGCTATGGTAATTGAAGAAAGTCTGCAAGAAGAAAATATGGAAAATTTGGCGGAAGAAACGTTACCAGTGGGAGAAGTGGCGGAAATAGCTACACCAGAAGAAATTCCTGCTGATAACATCGCTGAGCAAGAACCAACGGCTGAAAATGTTGAAGAAGACAATAAGCTTGAGGAAGCTGCTAGTGAAGACATTAAAGAAGACGCGCCAATTGTAGAGGAATCGCAACAAGAAGAAATTAAAGAAGAACAAGTGGAGCAACAAGTGTCTGAGGCCAACGGTGAGCTGTCAGAATCGGAACAAAAGCAGGAATTAAATAAAGAAGAAGAAACTGAAGTCAACCAAGCTGATTTAAGCGAATCTACAGTGCAAAATAACAGTCAGCAAATTACAGAAGAGAAATTGGAAGAAGATTCTGTACCAATAGAAGAAGAAGCAGCACACGAAACGCAGAAAATAGTGGGGGAGAAATTGGAAGAAGTGAAAAAACTAACAGAGACCGAAACACAACCCGAAGCACAAAACTTTGGAAAACAACAGGAACAAGAACAACCCATACCAGCTGCAGAGTTGGTGCAAAAAGAGGAACAACAGCCGGAAACACCAATACAGCTTGTAGAAAATCAAGAGCAACAACAAGAAACTCAGGAGACCACGTCCGAAGAGCTGCTACAGCAGGCTGTAGCGGGGGAAGCTCAAGAGATCCTGTCTGAAGAGTTGCAACAGTCGGTTGAGGAACAAGAAGTCCAGGAGGCTGAGCAAACTTTGCAACAAGTAGCAGAGCAACAACCATCGAAAGAAGCCGAGGAAACCGTAAATCTACAACAAGCAGAAGAACACTTGGAAGAGCAAGTTCAGTCGGTGAAGCAAGAAGAACCCGCTATTCAACAACAGCAGGAACAAGAGATCGCAGAAGAACAACCACAAACTGAGGCACAAATGCCTGAGGTTCAACAAATACTCGCCGATGCACCTGCACAAGTACCGTTTGGGCTTGTTACGGAATCGCTGAGCAGTGCCCCAATCGAACCCACCAATTCGTTGCTAACAACGATCATACAAGTGCCACAACAACAACAACAAATTCCACAACAACCATCACCAGTAAAAGTCGAAAATGACAAAGCACCATTAACGGCAACACTTGTCGGTGTCAACAGTCCACCCGCCGCTGCAGCAGCGTTCACAGTAGCACCACTAAATGTCATGGATAGTGTGCTCAATTATGTGAATGCCTCATTTATGCAACTCAATGGCAACAAACAACAGTTAACCACACAAAATCTAAAGGATGACGATGACGCTGATTTAAATGCACAGTTAAGACGCTACGATGGTGCTCAGGTCTGGAGAATTGTTGTGCAAAGTGATCACGATAGGAAAATGGCGGATGAGCTGCAAACTAAATACGGTAAGTGTGGCCAGTAGCAACAGCAACAACAACAATCACAATAATAATTAAATAGTAGACAACAGGTCGATATAAACAGTGAATGTGTGGGGCGTGTGGAAGGGGAGGGGGGGTTAGGAAGTAGAGACTAGAGGATAGAGGATAGTGTGTTGGCACAGTGAAAGTGAATGCTTGGTGCGCTTGTTTAGCGGCTGTGCTTACATGCTGGCATTGGCAGTGAAAAGCGCAGGCAATTGAGCTGCATGAGGAGCCTTACAGGAAGCATGCCTCTGAATAGATGCATGTGTGTGTGTGTGTGTGTAATGGCGCTCATTTTACTATGTGACCAACAGAAAAATGTCGGCAGATATGTTAATCATTGGTTGTAGAGGTTACCGTCAATAAGTAGCGTACTTACCAACAAACAAACTAACTAACAGACAACCATAAAAAAAACATCATGGTAATTAGGCTAATGGCATTGCTGCAACGTGACGGCTTTTGAACTATTTTCAATATTATATATATATGTTCATACATATGTATCTATTTTTCACTTTTTATGCAAGACAAAATGTGCAGTTAGAAAGTTTGCAAAACGTTCAAATATTCGCGTACGCTTCACGTGCCGTCGAAGGCAAATGCCAATGTGAAAGGGATGCAGACACAACAAGCCTTGGGCGTTAAGAGTGCCATTTTTGATGTTGGCAAATTTATTGCGTTCAAATAAAATAGTATTGTGAAGGGTAAATTGGCTAGATAGTGACTTGGCAGCGAAAGTAACGTCGTTACTGCGCCACTAAAATATTACTTAGAGATTAATTTTGTATAAAAACAAGAAAAAAGAAAAACAAGTGCAACCGAAGTTCTAATACCCTTTACAGGTGTATAACATAAGAGGGTATAAAAAGATCTTTATCTTGATTTGGTTTTGAGGGACTAGTTCCCATATACGCAGTCAGACAGATGTTCGAACGTGGTAAAATCGACACAGCTCGTCTTACTGATCATTTATATATATATTTTATAGGGTCTCCGACGTTTACTTCTGGGTGTTACAAACTTTGTGGCAAACTTAATATACATTATTCGGTGTTTAGAAAGCGTTAGTGACATGTTTTGGAAGTAATTTCACTTAACTTAATTGCTGATTTTGATAATAAAAATGATGTTTAAAATTCATTACAAGATACAAGATTAGTAAAGAAATTAATTTGAATGTGAGAAGTTTAGGCTTTAGTTTTGACATCATATACTATTTTCAAACGTTTAATAATTTTTATTAAAAAAAAAAAATACAACTGAGAAAGTAAGCATCATATCATATTTGAAACCACATTTGCTATTACCAATGATTCATACATCATTCAATTCTGAACAGTTTTATATAATTGTTCCAAGTCAAGAAATTATTACGTAATCTGTCGAAGAAGTCGATAAATTAGCCTAGAAAATTACTCCGTAATTCAAAAGTAAGCTACATGGCTTTTAAATATGCAACCAAATGCATAAGATTTCACAAAAAATTAGAAATAGCACGAAGGTTCCTTCCAGCGATGCTTAGAAAGGATGAATATTTTCTAAAAAAAAATGCTTCAAAAACCCACAAAAGATTTGTTAATATTTTTGGAGACTAGTAGGCTAAAATTTGCTATACGCTTTGTGATCTCTTCCAAGCACTCAGCTACTGGGCCAGGAATGTTGCTAGCGCTTTTCTGCATACCGAGTAAAATCGCTATGATTAGTGGACCAGCAACTAAACACTACCATTTATACAGCACAGGGATATTAAAAATATATTCGAAAAAAGTGAGACAGTTTTACAAGTCATAAAGGTTCAAAAGGGCCAGGTATAAATTTTGAGGTTAGAAACAAATGCTACTAAAATCAAATCTTACTAGAAAATCGTTTATTATTATTATTTTCTTTTTAATTTTGTAATTTTGCATAAAAATATTTTAAAATTTTCTTCATCGGCTTAAATATTTACTTTATTTTTTTTTAACTTCCCGCTAAGAAAATGGAAAATTTTCTAAAAATCGGGAAGATATTGGTTTCACCCCATTTTGCAAAAATCGAGTTCTCAACAGATCTCGACGTTCTGAGGGTCGAGGAAGCTTCCCCGAACATTTCTACGATGATGTCCGTATGTCTGTATGTATGTGTGGATGTATGTGTGTGTGTGTGGATGTATGTGACCCTCTTATAACTATTAAACTGCTCAACCGATTTGAATAAACTAAACGGCATTCCAAAGGGTTTCATTGCACTTTAATTTCGTGTAAGTTTGGACCCAATCGGACCAGTAGATTTCGAGAAATCTCAAAAATAAATTGAATTTCCAAATTTTTTCCAAACGACTTGACTGATCGACACCAAAAACTAATCAGTTCTAAACCTTGAAGAAACACATCGTTTGCCGCAAACCGGGTCGAAATCGGTTGATTTACTTGCTAGATATCGAAAACGAAAAATTTCGAAGAGCTCAAATGCAGTGAAAAAAGCGAAATTTGAACGTTAGCATATGAAATTAGAGGGAAGTTGCAGGGATGGCCCTTGAGGCCAACCGTTTTCCACGTTTTGAAATTTAAAAAAATAGGCTCAGCATAACAAAAGAGAATTTTAATACCGTAAACAAATACAAACATTTCGAAAAAATTTTGTTAGCTTCGCACAGGTGTCTTTTGGTAACAGTTTACTAATCTGCGCAAGCGCTTTGCCTGCTGTATTACTCGGGAAAAAGTTGCTGCTGCTCATGCAAAAGAAATTAATGCAAAACAGTCGTCTTTATGGCAGTGCAATTGGGCTTCTTCGATACTCTCTACATTTAACTGATTTATTTATTAACTTTAATCATTTGCATATTTTATTTTTATTGTTATTGCATTTCTTTTTTTTTTCTTTTTTAATTTTTTGAAATTTCACTTTAAACGTTAACATTTCTAATTTGCCTAAGTGATTTTGTATGCTGCAGCATACTTTTCCGCTACTGAGCTGCTGAGTGCATATAAAATTTTGTTCGCGATTTGTATTCAATATGGGCAAAGTAAAGAAGCCTAGGCTGCAGCTGGCCACGAGTTGAACAATGAGAGTAGTTAGCTTTCTTTGCACAGCCGCCAGAGCGAAAGTAAAAGTAACGTAATTGAAAAGTAATGTAAATAAGTAATCTATATTCAGGTAATGAAGCGAAATATTTATGCAGAAGAGTAGTGCCACAAAAAATACATTAAAAAACAAATTATATACTTTATATTGTTGGCAAAAAAGCGCACTATTTTGAAATGTACAGGGAAAGTGTGCAAAATATAAATATGTTTATTAAGGATTTAGCAGCAAATACTTTTTACTATTGTAATAGATTTTTTTATTAATTGACGAATATGCCCCGTTAGAAGTTACATCTAAATACAGAAAACCAAATTTCTGCATACTTGTCATTTGGTTATGATTCAAGGTCAATGTAGCAACACATACCATACAAGCATATACATACATAACAAACCTATACACATATATGTATGCACATATGGTAAATGACAATCTAAATTCAATTTGAACCGCGTCCTCATAACTGTTTATATACATATACAACATCACTTGATACTCATATGCATAAATACATATATTAGACATATGTATTGTATATAGGGTACATACATTTAATATACGAGAAAGTTAATATAATATGTATGCTCTGGCTATTCGCCTGCGCCGTCGAGTAGAGCGTATTCTGGTGATATAACGAAAATGCTCAACTTTTTTACTCGCACATTCACAAAAATTCTGCAAATAACAATTTTCTCATGGTTAATGAGTTTGTGATGATAGCAGAAATGTTTATAATGAGTTTTCTCAGCAGGAATTATTAAAAAATATATTGCATGCATATACCATAATGCTTATGTATAAGTTTAGAGCTTTTTCGGAGCATGGACGTTATTTTATACAAAAACAAAAATATCTTATATCTGAAAATGATAGAACCCTTAAGCAGAACACCATACCTAATTTTAATAATGCTTAGCGCGACACATAAATAATAGCAGTATTGTGATATAAATGATTTTTTAAACTTTTTTCGAAAAGTGGCAACCCTTTTTGAAAATGTATCCGATATAAATTTATATAATTTATTTTACCAATTTAATTTTATAAAAAAAAAATATGTGACAACTTTCTCTTTAAAATATATTTTTCATCGGTAAGCTAAACTAAACCAAACTGAAGATGTAATAATTACATTATCTTATCAATTTTATTGAATTTAAGTTTTTTGATATCAATTTTCTGAAGCCTAATTAGAACTAGTTAGCAGTATTTGTCTTCTTGCATTTTTATTAATCTTTATCTTAAAATTTTCAAAAAGGTGGCAGCGTTCTTACATTATTTTTCATTAATTTTATTCGTTTGTAATTTTTTTAGTAATTTATATTTGTAAAATTTTAACAAATTTATTTTTTATATGACTATTAATTAGTTTAGCGGCCACATCGGTTGGTGGTCTATGCCACTGAACTCAGTTTTTTGTAATAAAAAAATATACCTAAATAACTAATAAGCTACCGTTATTTTATGCACTTACATAGGTTAAAAAACTCATAAGGCTGAGTGAAGTTACAATAATTAAAAAATTTCCATAATCGATTCGTTCCGCAATTTCGTAGCTCATCAAACAATTGCCGTCTATTACACACGTACATATATATATACATAAATACATATAGCATAAATTATGAAAAATTAAATATTAGTGTACAATCGATCTATTGAAATATTTTCTAATTTTATTTTTCACTTTTGTTTTTTGCTTTCTTCCATTTTCGCACGAATCCGGCTCGATTCCCATTTGTGCTTTCAACTAATAATTAACTAACCATCCATAAAAACACCAAAAAAAAAACTGTAGGTGGTCAACTGTGGAAGGAGGTGAAACAAGAGGTCGATTACTTGTTGAAGCCACAAGTTTTGAGCGAAGCAGCACAGCATATACGCGCCGCAAATCTGTCACGAATCGTTCTCATCGATAATTTACAAAATGTCATCGAAACGGAAAATCCCAGCGCAGAGGAAATCGCACAATACCAGAACCGAAAGGGTAAGTTTCACTAACTTTTTAGCTAGAATCAAGTAAAAAATCAAAATAAAAAACTGGCAGACGCTACCATTAGATGCGCGCTGGCAGGCAAACACTTAGCTGCAGCGAGGCGAGCAAGTGGGTGGTAGCGCAGTGGCATTGTATCAGGTGTAAATGTGTAATATGTTGACGCCGTCACGGGCAACAGTTCACACTTTATGTAAAGCGTACATACTTCATCATTCATATATAAATATCCTCGCAACTAAATAGGGGTATTCACGATATCCACATTAACGGTAATTTGTTGTACGACAGCGCTGTTGCTGGTTTTTCTTACTTTATTTTGCTCTGATAGAACATATGACGACAAAGCGCTGTCAAATATAGATCTCGCCTTCGTCCCTTCGAAAGACGGGTTTACGTAAATGCTACGCACCGGATTTTTATCAAATCTAGCAATTAATTAACTCCAAATTATTTTGAGAATATTCCGGCAGATATTTGGTTATTCACAATTTTGATGCACTTCCAAACGATTGCCATTGCACCAACTCTTCTAAATTTTTTGCAGTTCTCCAAGCCAGCAAAATTTACCAACTACGCATTTGGTTGTTTACTAAATTTGGAACGTACTATGCACAATCAAATATTTTCATACGAAGTACCAAAATTTAGTTTCGATAAATATTATTTACCCGAACTGACAGAAAAAACTACGTTTTCATGTATTAAAATGCAAGCATGCATTTGTTATAAGCATCGGATGGGAAGACCTTCAGTACCTACAGCGAATTTTGGTTTTTCGGTTCATTTTTGAAGCGCCATTCGAGAGATTTTTGAACAGTTTCGACGTCATATTCATAAACCCAAGCCTCGACACCAGTAATGATGCGTTTGATGAATGTAGGGTCCTCGGCAACATTGTCAAGCATCTATTTTGAGACCTCTACTCGACCTCGTTTTAGCAAAAGATTCAGGTCTTTTGGTACGAGTCTGGCAATGACACGCTTTATACCCAAAACATTAACCAAAAAGTGTTCAGGCGATTCATAAGAGATATTGAGATCCTCTGCTATCTCTCCGAAGCCAACACGATGCTTTTCAAGTATTGTTTCTTAAACTTTCTTGATGTTATCGTCATTAACAGGTGGATGGCCGATTCGAATGAAGAAAGTTAAATACTTGTCTTAGTAATGATGTAGACTCCCCAAAATACTTAGGCAATATTCGTAGAATCCGTAGTAACACACAAAGTTTCAAGCAAACTCGACGTCTAATTAATATATGGAGATCAAACTTCACACGAACATTTTGAACAGGTTGTACAAATTTTGGAAAAAAAAGTTTATCGATCGTTAGTTTAATTTTAATCAGATGGTATACAAAGCAATCACATTCGTGTAAAAAATTATTAAACTACCAGGTTGAATACCCTCAGTGAATGAAAAGTGCGCTGTGGCTGTGACAAAACTGCCAAAGTGCCGCGAGGGAGAGATAGCGAAAAAACGAAGAAAACTTTTCCATTGAGCTGCAAAAAGTTGTGTTAAATAAGTACGAAAATCAACACAATTTGAAATTTTCAAGGGTTGTTGCATTTGCTCGTCTGTATGTCAACGCCTTCGCACTAAACTTTGGCAATTCAGACAATTCGATCGTAACGGTAATAACGGAGTTAATGGCAATGGCAATGGTGGTGCCACTTTTATGCGCTGTTTGTGGGTGGTGCGCTGTTGAGCCGTTAGTTACGCCAAACTAACTTTGTCGATATGTTTGTCGGCGCTGTCATAAGGCGGTATGAAAAATGACGTTTAGCTGACAATGCGGCACGCTTGTGAGGACAATGCATGGGTTGCAGTAAGCATGTAGTGGCAAGTCCATGCAATTCTTACACGCCTGACTGCTTTAAATGACTTTTTTATTGCTTGGGTTTGAGAAGTGTTAGTTATTCGTCTTCTATTACATTTTCAATGTTTGTGCATGTGACACCACAAATTTTTGGGCGTACTAACTAATTTATCGAAAATCAACACAAGCTCTAGTTGCCACGAAAATGACAAAAATGTTCCAAATATTTCAAGGGGGAGTTGGCCTCTTGGCACCTTGCCAAGCATTCCTAAGTCCTCTTGTAAGCACTAACACCCTTTTAAGTGATATTTTGGTGATTTTTGGCTGCGCTTTGTTATTCTTGGGTACGCCGCGCTTGAGTTTGTTTATCGGTTGCATAATGATGTGTAAATTTCGGGCTTTCGTGTTTTGTTACGCCTTGATTAAATGATAAAGTCAAGTTTAAGTGTTGCTGAATTATTGCTGCAGTTAACAGACGCTATTGCGGCATGACTGTAGTTAAGAGAAATTGAGTAAAAAAAAAAAGAGACGAATAGCGACGCTTTAGTTACTTCGATCGAGAGTTAATGATAGCAATTAGGTGATTTACTAGATAATTTTGTTTTAAAATATCTAAAACTTTCATAAAATTTGACATTCAAACAATAAAATATACCCGTAGCGTCAGAATAATTGCAGAGTTTAAAAAAAATTCCCGACTGTCCGAGGAGTACTAACTTATGCCCAAATTTAATAAGCAGGCAATAAAACTTAAAACTTTTTTTTAAAATTTGTTATTATTATTCAACCATTGAGGACTATACCACTTTCTTCTTAGAATTTACCTTTTGACTCAAAACAGGTCTCGATGTATGCGTATTTTTTCCAGCGACTATCCTATCGACAAGAACCGGTAGAGCTCAGATCGGAATATCACAATCTATGCATAAACATTTCGTAGTCGAACTCTTGCAAATTTACCATCGTTTTCATTGATTTTTAACACGATGGATCAGTCGGTTCGAAGAGCTCGCGCGACATCTACTTTGCACAGAGTTGTTTAATAGTCAAATGTGCATAAACGATATATTCTTTATGTCCCTTTTATATCTTTAGAACGTCAGCTAACTTTTTCAAACTTAGTACTGCTTGAATTTGCTTAAAAATTCCACACTCGAATGCATTGCGTCAATTGAGATTTCAAGCGACGGCAATCAATCAAATGCACTAGAGAATTGTTTAATCAATAGCAAAGCAATTTCAATTCGAATAGATGTTAAAATAGTGACGACTAAAGCAAAATGCGAGCCCCCAAATTCCAAATGAAAAAATGCAACATTGCAACATAAATGGCGCTGCAATTATCGCGAACCCTCTTCGGCGAACGCACAAAGCATACACAAATGCCCCAAATGACAAAGGCAATAAAGTGCTAAGCCCACATATACCAATATATGGATAAATACTAAGCACACATATGCGCATTTAGTATATTTTCCTTTAATATAAGTTCAAATCACAGGAGGGGCGAGTCCCTTATACTTTGTAGCGCTTACTTAAAGACAACAGAGTCAAGTTGCATTTGTAGGCAATTTGATACATACTTTGTGGCATATCCGGGTTTTTTACGATTCATTTGATGTGTGGGCGTCGTTTGTCAAACATTTTATGGATTTCATGCATGAGTGAATTTAATTTGCGCACCACAAAAAGGAAAACTTTTTCAATGAAAGAATGCATATGTGATGTGTTGATTTATTTATTTACTTTTATTTTTTCGAACTAATTTTAGGACATCGCTTAACTTGGAAGGCCTATCATCGTCTCGCAGACATACATGGTTTCTTTGATACAATGGCAAAAACATATCCCGATATTTGCTCTGTGGAAACAATTGGCTATTCCATACAGAAACGCCCATTGAAAATCTTAAAGTGAGTATAAATATAATATTGAAAGATAAAAATAAAAAATGCATAATATCTACCATATAACAACTAACCTACAAAAAAAACTTCACTTGCATTCACATCTGTTGGCCCCCCTTTCCACACCCTCACAATAATTTTCATATGGACTTTCCGCTTTATAGAATCTCCAATGGTAATCCTGGCAATCCTGGCATCTGGATCGATGGTGGCATGCATGCACGCGAGTGGGTTAGCCCTGCAACAGTCACATATATTGCCAATCAAGTGATTGAAGATTGGGAGAACTTGCCCGAATATATGCGCAATGTCAATTGGTAAGCCACATTAAGCCGCTCTTATTGCCACTTTTATACATCTATTCACATCTCAACAGGTACATACACGCTGTGGCTAATCCCGATGGTTATGAATACTCACACACCACCGATCGTCTCTGGCGCAAGAATATGCGTTCGCATGGTCGTCAATGTCCGGGTGTTGATTTAAATCGTAACTTTGGTTACAAATGGGGCGGCAAGGGTACATCGGCAAATCCATGCGCACAAACTTATCGCGGCAGCAAAGCCTTCTCGGAACCGGAGACATTCTATATTTCGAAATTCATTAGCAATTATCCACGTGACACCTTTAAAGCGTTCCTTTCGTTCCACAGTTATGGCCAGTACATCTTGTATCCATGGGGTTACGATAATCATCTAACTCCCGATAAAGCGGATTTGGATCGTGTGGCGCGTCAAGCAGGAACGGTGAGTTAAAGAATTATTATTACATTAGAAAAACAGTAAGAAATTGGATCTTTAACTATTCCGGGATTAGCGTCCACTATACCATCGAGAGATGGTTTTTAGTTGTTAAAGCAATAGTAGTGAGAAACTGTAAAGACAAAATCTTCATAGGATGTTCTACCTTATCCTTCACTTATTAAAATATTTCGGTGTTTTTTCGAGGGGTTTTGTTATATAAGGATTAAAAGTATTTCCGTACTCTTACGATAAAAACCGAATTTGCTGAAAATGTGAAACCCACAGTAATTATTGATCTTGAGTCAATCTAGAGATATTTTTCATGGAGTATTTAAGTTATCATAGAGTAAAGCAATTAACAAAGTGTCCCAATTAGTATTTAATTGTTAATACATTTATTTAAAGTCTTTTTGAGTCCGTTAAATGGAAAGGGAAAATAGCATCAAAAGAAGTGTCAAAATCTTATAATATTATCGGGTTAGTTTTTTTTTCTGAAAAGAGTCGGTGATGCATTCAAAACTTTATCATACAGATGGAAAAAAATAGTTTTCTACTTTTTGGAAACGAGATTGGAGCACTCCCAAGAGGGCCCTTAAGCACGAGTGGTTTAAACTACAAGTAAATTGAGTGTTATTAATTGAATTCCAAGCTTAATTAGATAATTTGCATCTTAATAGACTTAGCTAATATAAACTTAGTAGTAATTTTCTCACAACAATGGAGCTCGAAAGCATCTTAAACTAAAACTTTTCTAATGATATGATGAATGTTTAGACCAACGTACTTGCTTTTTTGTACAACCTACATATGGCATGAACAGTTCGTAGATCTGATATGATTTTTTAATGATGGTGCCGAATATAGAATTTTATTTTTGACCAAGACTTCAAAATAAATTAAAGTGTTGAGCTTTGAGACTGTAAGTGAGCTTATAAACGTAATATTTTTCCAATAACATTAAATGATGAAGCTTGTTCTCTCCAAAAAAAATAAACAAATGAATAAAAATAAATTATATTTTTCATTTTACTGATTTCTTTAAATTTTTTTTATATTTCTACAATTAGAAAATCACAAAGAAGTCAGGTGGCAAGTATACAGTCGGCTCTTCAGCGACCACTCTTTATCCAGCAGCTGGCGGTTCGGATGATTGGGCCAAGGGCTTTGCTGGCATCAAATACTCCTACACAATTGAAATGGGCGACACAGGCCGTTATGGTTTCGTGCTACCCGCTAGCCATATCGAACCTAACGGTAGGGACGGTTACACTTTCGCTGAGACAGTGGCGCGCGCTATCACAAGTGGCAAAAAATACAGTCGAAAACGTGCCTTGTAATTATGGATTAGTGTAATTCTCTAAATTAATTTAACATAATTTATTTATTAATTTAATATTTATTTATTGCGATGCTGACTTAAAGAAGCGTGACCGTAAATCTACTTAATTAACTAAAAGAAAGTAAAGGGTAGTCCAACAAAAGCCAATTTAGCTTAATAACGAAAATGCCAATTAAATTAGTGTTTATTTATTTATTATGCGAAATATTTATTTATTTATTGTATTTGTAAAAGAAATTTATTTGCGTATTTATGTTGTACTGGCATAAAGTAAGTGGAATTTCGGCCGATTAGTTGAATTTAAATGGGCTAAACGTTTGTTAAAACAAATGAAAGCGTACAGAAAATCCAAGTGAATAATAAAATGAAATGAAATTGAAAATAATAAAATGTGTTTTAATGTAAAATGCAAATGCAATGGTTTTCGATTGGAATGCGTGCAAGATTTAAGATTCACTACGTGTCATCTGAATAATTACGCTGGCAAAGTTTACAGACCGCGTGTATATGCGTGTGTGTGAGTAAATGAGATTTTGATTATCCACTTGCATACATCAAAGAAAAGCAAGAAGAAAGGCAACGTTTTTGTACACTAACTTAAGTACATAGCAACATACGTAATAACGTATTGATACATGTATGTACGAGGGTGGTGCGATAAGTAATTGACTATAGTTTGCACACTCTTATAGGCTACCAAAATTTAAAAGGTTGTATTCACTTGTGAATTACAAAACACCGATTTTTAATTTTACATCGGTGTTAATTAAATCTTAATGTATATTTAAGAATATTCTCCGAATTTCAAAATTAACTGCGGAGTCGGAGCAGGGTATACTCCAATTATTTGGACATCTCTCCCTCTGTCTATGCGGCTACTAAACTCAGCCATCATCTTCCAAGCTGAAGTACTAGGTATAGAGAAGGCCTATGGAGTTGTATTAAATAACTACTAATAAACACATACGCTACAGATTTACTAATATGCAGTCAGCAATTACAGGAAGACTTTAAGCTCACTGGCAGGTCAACTCCACTTGTCCATATTTGGGTTTCCGATCACAGAAACATTTTCCTAAACGAAAAAGCAAACGAATTGGTCAAGCTACTAGCCTCTTTAGACGAATCCGAGGCGGAGTTAATACCATACCCGCTGGGAACGATTAAAAGAGAGCTTAATACACATTTTGAACAAATAGCTCAAACAGATGGAAATCAATAATAAACTACAAGATAACAAAGCAAACAGATATGGCCAAGTATGAATAGTAGTATACGAGAAGCAAGGACTTAGTAAATAGGTTCAGAAATAGTATAAACATACTTACAGATACTATAACGGGGCACTTGTTTTTTGGATAGCATGCGCTAAAAATGCGTCTGCTTTCTAATAATATTTGCCGCAGCTGCATGCTAGAAGAAAGTACGGATACTGTTTCCCTCTTTCTGTGGGAATGCAAAGCTCTATCACAAACCCGACAAAGGATACTTGGAACCCATCAGGCACCAAACCTATCTACCTAATCAGCACTAAGCTACTTTGAAGTGTAAATTTTTTCATAAAAATCGAGTTTTTTTTTAGGAAATCGACATTTTGTAAAAAAATCTAAATTTTGAGTAGTTTTTCGATCATTACCTGTATATATCCATAGTGATAAAAAAAATCATTTGATTGTTTGTTTTGAGATAATTTTAAGAAGAAAAATTTTCCTTACAGCCAGACATCTTTTTTCCGAGGTACTCTTAGCGATCGGCAACAGGATCAAGGAAGTATAAAATTTTCAAAAAGAAAACGCCGATTATTATTTATTTTTTATTAAATAAAACAGGAAAAAAACGTTAACTTAGGTCGCACCGAAGTTATAATACCCTTCACAGATACAAAAGATTCCTTACAAGAACTTTGATCGGTCAGTTTGCTATATGCTATAATATATAATATACTGAGTTCGCATATATACAGATGGACGGAGCAGTCTAAATCGACACATCTCGTCACCCTGATCATTTATATATAATATATACTTTACAGTATATCTGATGTTTCCTTTTGGGCGTTACAAACATCGTGTCAAACTTAATATGCCCTGTTTAGGGTATAATCTTAAAAAAAAAACACCAAAATTGAGTTTCAAAGTAGATATAACCCATTTAACCGAATCGGTCTTGAAAATCTTTTTTCACTGCGTGTGGAAGCGAACGAATCCGCTGAAAAATTCAAAGAGGTTTTCGAAAGGAATTGGCACAATGAAATAATGAAATCAAAGAAAGCTTAGATGCTGTATATGATGACCCTTTCCCTTCGATGACAAGCGTCAGAATTAAGCTTAACGAGTTATCAACTGCCGGTTTTTGAGGATTAAGGATACTAAGGAGGATAATAAAAGCTTACGAACTCATATTAGCACAGACCGCCGATTGAAGGTGAACGAGAAAGCTGACACAGTGGGCATCTCAAAAGATTTTATTTTTCTTTTTAAAGTAAACTACTTATCAGACCGCCCTTGTAAGCTTGTACCTAGGCTACAACTATAATATATATATATTGATATGGTTTTGACAACTGCACACACTAATTCATATGACAGAATCAACAATTGCCAGCGCTGCTTGCAAGTTCCCATGCACAGCCTTGACCTTCTTTCGGCATTGTTCTTTATTATTTTAAGTTTTCTTTTTTCGTTTTCGGCTACAAAGTATTTAGGCAAGTTAAGTAGAATGCATGCAGCTAGTAGGGTTCCTGTCTTTGACGGCACAGTAAATGGCGTTCCTCATCAAATTTACTGCTGTTGTTGTAGTCTTTTGTTGCACATCTTCTTATAGACCAAAAAGAGAGCGTAAAATGCATGCATATTCATATTATATATGTACATATGTATACATAGATGTATATGTTTTATTCAGCGTCGCAATCAATATCCTGAGAAGCGCATTTCCTTTGCCTGTGGCAACCTCAAAATTATTGGCAATTGTCAATTTTGTGAAATTTTTATTGTTGCCTAAAGGAAAATGTTATCTTTTGTCAAATATATAAGATTGGAAAAAACGATGTTAGGGGCATATGTACATATGTACGTACTAGTATGAATACTTAAATTTTGGGCAACATATGTACAAGTATATGGTAAATTCAGAAATGGCCATTACAAACGAAATGGCCAAAAAGATATTTTCTCATGACAAAAATTTAACCAATTCATGTAATAAAAATTAAGTTTTCTCTATCTTTACCACTAGTAAAATTAATAAGGTTATTAATTTACTTTCCAACGTTTCATAAATTTATTTTAATTTTTGCGACTATAAATTATTAAATTTAACAGTTTGTTCAACTGTTTCGTAATAGAGAAGCAAGAAATGAATTTCAGAGGAACCACTTACATATACGAGTACGTATCTACATATGTACATAAGTATATTGCTACGCTGAATATTTCGTAATAGTAGAAAACGCTTAAATTATTGAACGCAGATATGGAGCTTACTTGGTTCATTCAACTGTGACTAATATTTGCGCGCAAGCCAAAGTCGCAGTCACACATTAAGGTTAAGGTTTTTAAGTGAAATGAGAAAAGGAAGAGTAAAAGAAATGTATAAAATTAACAAAATAAAAGTAAGATTACTCACTAATTTATTTTAATGGAATTTAAAGGACAAAAAGTGATTAATTTTAAAGAAAAAGATGTGTTTCACGGTTTCAAAAAAAATTTTTTTACTGTCTTATTTAATTCTATAACATCCCTAGAATATTGTCCCAAATTCTCAAGTTGACCCGAGTAATAGGTTTGGGAATACAACCTTGAAAAGTTGCGCGCTCTCACTTAAAACATAACACGCTTTTGCTGAAAACTGTGCTTTCAAAGTCTGTTGTCAATTTCTCGCGAGCTCTAATGAAATTTTACACGGACCAAAAATCAAGTGATTATTACCTGCTCCTTTCAAAGGCAAATGCTTTTGTTGGTGCAAAATTCTGCCCAAGAGAAGCTTGTGAATGTCCCAAATGGACTACATTGATGTCAAGGGATCAACTAAACACAGTTATTGTTATTTTCTATTTTGATTATGAATTTGAAAAAGGAATAATGTCAAGTAAGCTGTTTCGAGATATTCTCAGGCTTAGTTAGCATAGTGACTTCATTGCCTGTTTATTACATTCAAGCCAAATGTTCTTTTGTCCACTCACTCAATACTGTCCTATGCATATTACTCAGTTTGTGCTGATTCTTTCGAGCTAACTCAGATTCGATTGAAGAACTAAGTTTATCGATAGGAGAATTACTTTCGGTTTGTTCGCAAACGCTATATTTTTCAAGACGTTTTCTAATTTTAGAGCTAAAAACTAGTTACCTAATCATCTGATCGTGTCAAAGTTTACATAACATTACGTTTTTTTTTCAAGAGGGCTACAAAAAATATTTAAACAGGTAAGGAAGGGCGAAGTTCGGATGTAACCGAACATTTTATACTCTCGCAAAGTCAAATGGTATACCCGTTTGAGATTTCTTTGTGGATTGACTGATATTTTCGGTAGAAGGTCAACTATAGGTTGTCCACATATTTAGTACTTAGGGGCTTGAACAGTTTTGGTTCGATTTAGACAATTTTCGGTCACAAGGTGACATACTTTAAACGTATTATTCACGCAAAGTTTTACCCCGATATAATCATTGTTGCTTGATATGCATAGTTTAAAGTGAAATAATCAGATAGAATTGAAAATGGTATTATATGGGAAATAGGCGTGGTTGTAGTCCGATCTCGCACTATAACATAGAAATATGAAAAGAACGTTATGCGCCAAATTTGGTTGAAATCGGTTAAGCAGATCCCAAGATATGGGTTTTCACCTAAAAGTGGGCGGTGCCACGCCCACTGACTAAATTTGAACGCGGTTCCTATAAAGTCATCTCATACCATCCCAGAGATAAAATTGAATGTCTCTGGCGTATTTATTGGTTGGTTTATCGCGCTTTTAGTATTTTTTAACAGTACCGTTATATGGGGAGTGGGCGGAGTTGCCACCCGATTTCAACTATTTTCACACCGTCAATAGAAGTGCTAAAAACATTTTCTCCCAGTGAATTTTGTTATTATAGCATTAGCGGTTTAGGAGATATGCACATTAAAACTATTAGGGGCGGGACCACGCCCACTCAAAAAAAAAAATTTTAACTGCAGATGCCCCTCCCTAATATGATCCTGTGTACCAAATAACAGCGTGGCACGGACGGACGGACGGACAGACAGTCACCCGAATTTCAACTCGTCTCTTCATCCTGATCATTTATATATATATAACCCTATATCTAACTCGATTAGTTTTAGGTGATACAAACAACCGTTAGGTGAACAAAACTAAATATTATACTTTGTAGCCACAGGTTGCGAGAGTATAAAAATACTTACATATTACGTATGAAAAATAAAATAACTGTAGTTTACCCTGCATGAAGTATCGCGAATAATGCCAAAGTATGGTATATACAAGTAGAACGATAATCAAAACTTTTAATGAAATTCAATTTGTTTTTGAACACACATATGAATGTATTGCTTATAATGACAATAAACAAAAGAACATCAAAAGAAATGAGACACCTCGCTCGTTACCTTTCTTACAGCTGCTCGTCGGTTGAGGTAATTATGCTGCTAATGATCATTACAAGCAGCGCAACAGTTGAAACAGTTATTTTCGATTTCCCCCCAAATTTTTGTGTTGTTAACTTTTTTATTATGCAAATTAATTAATTTTGCTCATGTGTTGTCGTTAAAAATTATTATGACCGCTATTTGGGTAAAGAAAAAAGCGCAAATATTGAATAAAAGACAACTCCAACGTTGGGAGTGCGCAGCTGCATTGTGAATTATGATTATAACAGACAAATCAGTTGAGATGACTATCACTTTCTTGGCTTACAAGCATAATCGTCACAGAAGAAATATAGCTTGCAGGTTTACTCGTCGAAATGCTCCAACTTTTTCACCAACAAACTATCACGAACATTTCTAATTAAGCACTACCGACGAACAGATCGCGGTGACGGTTCAGTATAATTTCGATGAGATAGCTCGTGTTAATTTATTAATAGAAATTTAATGATATAATAGTTTGAGGAATTTTAAGGATGCCTATAAACTTTTGCTCAATGCTATTGATACTTCTGCAATTATGTTTGTTGTTGCTGCCGGCAGCAACTACGCAAGCTATGCTAGAGTTGCCAGTCGATGTGAATAAAACGCCTCTTAATTTCGTGGAAATACCGCGCACGAGCATACTGGCGCGCATTCCATTCTTTCGCAACTTTTTACGTGCAGTGCGTCCGAATACGCACGTCGGCCGCAAATCGGATTATCGAAGCGAGTTCGATGAGAACTATATCAACTATCATGGCGCTGAGTTGTGGAAGGTCATATTTAATGCGACGCGCAAGCGCAGTGATGACAACAAACGCACGGAAATGATGCAGACCTTTGTGGAGAAATTCGGTAAGTCGGTGAATTATTGAGTCGTATATCTTCGGTTTAGAGTAAAATATAAGAATGGGATTATAAAAAAGGATATAAATTCCTAAAGGTACGAACATTTTCGTTAAAGTTTATTAAAATTCCTTTTTTTATAAAGTTTAGGGGAAAATTGCAGTCACATTTCTCCGAAATTATCAGAATTAGATATCAAGTCTCTATTAAACTTCGCAAAAAGTGTTAACGTCCTGTACGCCATAAACTTCAGCTCGTACTGAACTGAACCGCCATCTAGCTTTATATACTGTACAAACTGTAGGTCTGTGTATGGCGTGACAGCCAGTTAGTATAATCTAATTTAACCTAACCTTCTCCGAAATCAATGCTTTCATTCATTTAGTTTCATTTGGCGATTATCTAACTTGAAATTTTAAGCAATTATTCCATCAAGAACAAATCTTAGGGAACATTCAGAAAAAATGTGTGGTATAATGGTGGGATTAGAACTATTTGATCCAGTCATCTTACACCTATGCGATTATTGCAATAAAATTGCCTAACATTTTAAAAATGCTGTCATTTGAACAAAAATTTCTATATCTTTTGAAAGGTTTCTGTACACTTTAGGTCAGTTCGGAACAACGTCTTATTTTCAGCTGACTTTTAATGCGTGCAACAAATTCAATGTCAGCCGTTGATCAATGAAAAAATGAATGATTGTCTTTTGATTTAAATTATCAATCAAGTTAATGTGTAATGTCACCACAGCTGAAATTGACAGTTTGTTGACTTTGAATCGTTGCCATACAAACACCTGTCACATGACAGCTTACTATTGTCAATTTAGCGTCACTGAATTTGACATAATTAGCCCTTAAGTCGATGCTCTCCATATTTTTTATATACCATACATATGTTCATATGATAAGTAGAATATGAGAGAGATTTAGACTCTACCAGATTCATCTATGTATTATATTTATCGTTAAATTTTATCTATCAAGTGAATAATATAATAAATCGATAGATTTTTGGTGTGAATGTTTTATATTCCATCTTGTATTTAGTGAACGCGTATGTTAAAGATAATTTGACGCTAAAATTTTCATATAAGTTTGCCGCACATAACGCGAGTAATTTAAAAAATAAAAATAAATTTACTTTTCAGATTCAATAAGCATTTGCAAACTCACTTTCTCAAGAAAATTTCACTAAATTACATTCATCCGGTTTAGCTCAACGCAAATAAATGCGAAATGTTCAGTCATATTCATCTAATGAGCATAACAGAATTTGCGAATTAGTCAATCAAAATTGCAAAAAATTGGCAAAACAAAAAGAAACAATTATTGAAATGAAGTTGAAAGTAGAAAATGTAAATTAATTCATAGCCTGCTAAAGCTATTCTAACGGCACATCGCTACCACGTAACTCTTACAATACTTATTTAATAAAACTATGCGCTCGGAGGCAATGGCAACATGACACGCAAACTCGTTATTCGGTGTTCTTGCATACAATTTTCATAAATCATTATCTAAATTTCTTGGTCTAACCGAAAAAGAACTTAACATAACTTGCTTATTTAAATAACAAAATACCAGATTTGAGCTTAATCGGTCTTCGAACTGAATTTATTTAGTCAGTAACCGAAAAGGCCGCGTGTGCATTAGATCTGTAAAAAAAATCATACAGTACGCAATATCGCGAGACAAATTTTTGTAAGCTGAAACGTTGAAATTCGCATAATGTTAATAAAATACTTGTGTTACAATTCGCTTGTGATTTTACTGTTATTATTGCTAAATTTGCCGACGCATCCTTGTCGCCAACAACATCCGCAATTCTTTTTATTACGCAGTATTCCCGGTTTTCCGACCGCTCTCATTCCTAATGATGAATTGTATGAGAATACATTGGAGAGTTTACAGTGGCTGGTGCCAATGGACATTCGACAATTTAACATTTTCTCACCGCAATCTTCGTATCAGATTAACTTGCGATATCGCAACAGTAGCTCAGTAAAGCGCTACCCCGGTTATCAGTTGTGGAAGATACATGAAAACAATATCGAAAATAAAGTTCTCCGAACGTTTTGGAGACTTTTCGGTTAGTAGTTGTACAATTGTTGTTTTTCCAAAGTGGTTAAAGTGAAATATCGAATCTTCGTTTGAGATAACTAAACAATGTGTTTATTAGATAATTTTTTAAAACAAAGTTGTGAAATGAAAATCTTCTGTGATCTACAGCCGCCTTCTGTTTATTAAGAGTATATAAGTAGTACGCAGAAAAAGGAGATGAATTGGATGGTGCTTAACGTAAATTGTTTCCAAGAAAATGTTTATTTGAAAAAAATGTTTATAGTTATAAAAAAATTCAAGAGTATGAATGGAGAAGCAGTGAATAATCAAAAGTCAAAAGTTTACAAAGTCCGAGTTTAAACTAAATTCATTTAGAGTTTTATAATTAATTTGTTCCAATAAAATTCCAATTATTTCACGGATGCCAAGAAAGAAAACGAATGAGGCCCTAATACGTCCATGTTTTTATACTCTCGCAACCTGTTGCTACAGAGTATAATAGTTTTGTTCACCTAACGGTTGTTTGTACTAATCTAATCGAGTTAAATATAGGGTTATGTATATATAAATGATCAGAATGAAGAGACGAGTTGAAATCCGGGTGACTGTCTGTCCGTCCGTCTGTCCGTCCGTGCAAGCTCTAACTTGAGTAAAATATAAGATATATCTTCATGAAACTTGGTACACATGTTTCTTGGTACCGTAAGACGGTTGGTATTACAGATGGGTGTAATCGGATCACTGCCACGCCCACAAAATGCCATTAATCAAAAACAAATAAATTGCCATAACTAAGCTCCGCAATAAGATACAAGACTCTTATTTGGTATACAGGATAACATTAGGGAGGGCCATCTGCAATTAAATTTTTTTTTTAAGTGGTGGTCCGGCCCCTAATAGGTTTAATGAGCATATCTCCTAAGCCGCTAAAGCTAAAATAACGAAATTCACTGGGAACAAATGTTTTAGCACCTCATCTATCGACAGTGAAATCGGGTGACAATTCCGCCCACTCCTCATATAACGATACTGTTGACTACTAAAAGCGCGATAAATCAAGCACTAAACACGACACTAGACATTAAATTTTATCTCTGGGATGGTATGAGATGACTTTTTAAGAACCACGTTCAAAATTAGACAGAGGGCGTGGCACCGCCTACTTTCAGGTGAAAACCAAATTCGGTACATAAAATTCTTCTCATATTTCTATGTTTTAGTGCAACCACGCCTATTTCCCATATAACACCATTTTAAATTGCATCTGACTCTTTCACTTTCTACTATGCAAATAAAGAAATCTCAAACGAGTATACCGCTTGACTTTGCGAGGGTATAAAATGTTCGGTTACAAACGAACTTAGCCCTTCCTTACTAGTTAAGTTATCAAAAGCAGCTAATACCTCTAAGGGGGAATAGGATTATTGAAAATTAATAACGTAATGCATATTTTAGAAAAGCTTAGACTCGCTCAATTCTAGCATTGTAATTTTTCTGATTTAGTCTCAAGATGATAGTTTACTATATACAATATTTTAGCACGAACTATAGCTACAAAGGTCAGAATATATAGAAATTTTACGACAAAGCCTAGACCTATGTAGGCGTTCCAGAAAATGTGACTAAGAATATTATAAGCATAATAAAGGAAAACTAGCTGTAGCAAATCATGCCAAAGCCTTTATGATATAAGACATCTACGAAATGTTATTATTATACTCTTGCAACATATTGCTACAGAGTATAATAGTTTTGTTCCTCTTTAAAAAGTGGGCGTGGTCCGCCCTCTAATAAGTTGAATGCACATATCTTCTAAACCTTTCCAGCTGGAATAACTAAATCAGGGCAAATCCTTCTGGCATCCTTATCCACCTTATGAGTGGATTCGGATTATAACCCTGCCCACTCCCCAACGGTTTGTTAGAAACTATTAAAGGTGCGATTAATCTATAACTAAATATGCAAGAAACATAAAATTTTACAGCCGAGATGGTACAAAAATGCTTTATAGGAACTGGTTTCAAATTTGGACGTTGGGGGTGGCACCGCACATATTTAGGTGAAACCCTATATTTCGGGATCTCTGTGACCGATTTCACCCAATTTGGGGAGGTAACATTATCCTGACATTCCTTTAACAGTGCGAAAATCAGACACAAACCACGCCTAGTTCCCATTTAACACAATTTCTAATTTTTATATTATTCTTTAACTTTCCCGTATACAAATCAAGAACCAATCAATGTATCCGAATAAAGCTTGGCAGTTTCACCTTTGGAATATCTAATTCTTGTAGCTGTTCAATATCCTTGTACGGACTACGAATTTTAGAAAATAATTTCATTTAAGGATAAACAAATTATAAAAAACAAATTTCAATCAAGATAGAATAATTTTGAGGAATACACATACATATGTACGAATATATATCATCGATCCTTTAATACAGTTATGTCACCCATAAACTGTATTACTTTGTTAGCTCGAATTAGGTTATTAAATTTCATTTTCACACATCTTGTACGAATAAATATTACACTCACTGTAGATCTTTTTTTTCCTGCTTTTTAGCCACGGAGGTATGGAATGTAAATCAAGATGGTATCGATGTATTAATTGACTACAAGAATACGGCTAGAGCCAAAGACTTCATAGCGAAAACAAATTTTACCTACAACATAATGATCGACGATATTGAAACGGCGATTGATGAGACTTATACGGAAGTGAATAACAGTAATGCAAATATGCCGTGGTTAGATAGAGACAGTAAGCGGAATTCGGGTCAAGTGGACTAATTTGGCTCTTCATATGATTTGTGAAAGATAAAAAATGTAATAAAATTTTTTTATAGGTACAATATTAAATTGGAATCGCTATCACGATATTGGTGACATACAACAGTTTTTGCAGCACATTTTGGAAACTTATCCGGATTTGGCGGAGATAGTGCAAATCGGTGTGACGCATCACAAACGATCGTTGGAAGTGCTGCGGTGAGTCAAAACGGTTTTTGGATGTAAAGGAAATTGAGAGTAGAAACAATTCTATCATAAGTTTTTCAAACTCATAAAATTGCTACTAAAAAATAAAAATGAAATATCAAAACTAAGCGTTCACCTCCATTTTACAGCATCTCTAACGGCAACCCCAAGAACTGGGCTGTCTTCATTGACGCCGGAACGCAGGCACGCGATTGGCTGAGCCCCGCCGCGCTTACACTCGCCATTTCGAAGCTAACCTGGTTGTGGGATAAGGAGTCGTCTTTTATGCGTAGCATCGATTGGTATTTCTTGCCAGTGGCGAACCCGGATGGTTATCAGTACTCGCGCATCACCGATCGTCTCTGGACGAAGAACCGTTATTTCGATAGTCAAACCGGTTGTTATGGCGTCAATTTGAATCGCAACTACGACTATCAGTGGGGTGGTGCGGGGTCATCTGAAAATCCCTGCAAGAATCTGTTCAGAGGTCCCAAAAAATTCTCCGAACCGGAAACGAAGGCCATACGAACCTTCATGCATAATATGCGAGAATTTCTAGGCGCATATGTTTCGTTCGGCGCCTATGGCCAGGCCATCGCTTATCCATGGGGTGATGCGGACTTCGTGACGGACAACCAGCGCAAACTGCACAATGTAGCGCGACGTGCAATGTTGGTAAGTTGCAACAGAACAAAAAATCAATTTACAAGCCACTAAAATGGTTTGCCATTGTTTGAGTTTCTTTTTGTCTTTTTGGTTTTGATAGTTTCCATTGTGTGGCCACTATTACATGTGTTGATGTTTCTGTTTTATTTGATTTTTAGAATTTCCGCAAATTGAATCAAGCCGAATATCGTGTAGGCACTAGCTATCGGCTGAAATTGGCACGCGCTGGCAACTCGGTCGACTGGGTGCAGCAGCGCATTAATCCCCAATACGTTTACAATGTATTTCTGAAGGACCAAGGGCGCTATGGGTACTTGATGCCACCGCATTACATTGTCGAATCGGGCGAGGAGGCATACGAATTTATGAGGACAATAGCGGCGGCGCTGAATTAAAGTCGAGCCAAAGAGTGAATGCCACAAATCCATGTGGTTGTAAAGGAATGGAAAAAGAGAAAAACGGAGCCAGAAAAAAAAAACGAGAAATGTATAGCACCATTTGAAAATTTTAAACTCTCACAAAAACAAAAAAGTATTTAAACAAAGTTTAGCAGACGCTTTTAACTTTTTTTCAGGCGAAGTTAGGTTTAAGCAAACACGTATTTCGTAAACATTTATTATTTAAGCTTATTTATTTATAAATTTTAGTGTATGGAAAATATGAACAAAAACAATAAATTGCAGTAAGTTGAAAGTTTCTGTGCATTTCTTCCTCGTCTCAAGGTTAAAGATATGCCGCCGCGGCAGTTGTCTAAACAAAATGCGACACTAGAAGGCGCAAGCATGTTGCATAAATAACCGTAAGTATATAACATTAATGTTAGAAAATATATTGTTTACACAAGTGCAACACAAAATTAAGTTGGATAAGAATTAAAGCAAATATTTGGTAGTTTGTCCAAATTACCTTACAAATACACGAATATCGCATGTAATATATATTTCACCGTTTTTATTTGCTATATCATTATAGCAGAGAACGTAAATGAATAGAGAAGGAGCAAATATTAACTGAAATCTTTTTGAGTACTAATTTGTAGTTCCAGATGAGGGAACATCGAAAAATATAACTTCGAAAAAGAAAAATACACCACACAATATGCGAAATGCTATAAATAGACACAATGAATATTCCTAAATGAAAAATCGTTGCGCATACCTATTTAGATTTATGTTTTCAATATCTATGATATGACAAATTTATAATTATGAAAAGCCTTCTGAATTAAAAATCTGTATTATCGGTAAAAACCCCAGAATTCATAATAAAATAAACATTAAATAGGCAATTTTTCCAACTTATGTATGTGCGTTGCGTTCATTAACATTCTCTGATTAAATTTTAACGAAACTTCTTTTTATGTATGTCAATATGTAACGCTCTTACAATTGGTATTCGTTGCATATTTTTAGGCGAACAAAATATCCAAACTGCTGTATCAGAGAACGTACAATTTTTTACGTTCTCTGATTATACGTGCTCTGACACATTTAAGCATGTGATAAACGTTCTCTGGTATTTATTGCTACAGGGTTAGCAAATAGCATTAAATATGGAAAAATGACTGACTGATGGAAAATGCGATTGTTTCAGAGGACTGGTGTATAAATAAGTATAGACAAATCTATATGTTTTAGCTTTGCTCAAAAACTATTTAAACTACCTCTAAATGCAGTTATCACCCGCCTTCTATTATTTAAATAGCCGAAGACAACTTAAAGTGTCTGTTCTAAAAAAACAGAAGCAACAAATATAGTTTACATAGCTAATAACGAACGCTTTTTGTGAGAAAGGCCTAAAGAAAGTTACTAACCTCCATGCCATGGACAACTGAAGCCAAGATTTAAATAACATAATGAGACCGGACAAACGTTCTTCAAAATAGTACGTGATCATTTTTAACCTTTAAAGCGATTTAAAGGTTTTACAGAATAACAATATAACCCATTTATCATTGAGTAACTTCATTTTTTTGTTTTCTTAACAGCGCTTAAGATCTTCAGGAATGATAATCTATGATATCCTGGCAACAATCAATTGGTAATTCTTACCAAATCTCTTTCACTACCTGTCACAAATCTCTAAAATTTATTCGTTTTCGTTTAGCAACAGTTTTTTTGAAATCGGTCTGGACGTTTTTTATGTGGTTGAGGTTAGGAGACTGTTTATTCCTATAATTTTAGGGACTTGCTACCATTTAAGCAGAACCTAGTTTTCTTAATTATACCCTGAACAATACAGTCAGTTGCTACGATGTTTGTAACACCCAAAAGTAAACGCAGGGACCTTATAAAGTACATATGTATGTATATATGTATATACAATAAATGATCAGCGTGACGAGCTGAGTCGATTTAGCCTTGTCTGCCGGTCCGTCTGTCTGTATATATGCGAACTAGTCACTAAGTTTTTAAGATATTAATCTGAAATTTTGCGCGCAGTCCTCTCTCACTAAGAAGCTGCTCATCAAACTGAACGATCGGAATTAAGTGCTTGAATGGAAAACATTTTCATTTGACAGATGACTCTGTATAATACTTTCCTCTAGAAACTAAAGAGAAATCCATTGACTCAATTAACAATAACTAATTCAAATTGCAGCTGGGTTCTGAAAGTCTACTTACTTTTCTAAGTTCAAGATTATTTTTGAAAAGAAATATCTAACACTCCTATTTTTGTGAAAAGCAGCAACAAGGATTTTCGGGAACTAGCCAAGCTAGACGAGAATAGCGATCATCTCAATAAAATATTGTTATTATTTTTTGGACAATTGTATACATACATATATATATATCTGGTGTTATTGTTATACGTAGTAAAAACTTCTATATTAGTAGCTCTAAATACATTAAGCGAATAAGCAAAAAAACATTATATTGTAGAGCGATTGAAGCATCCAAAGCTGAACATTATATCTTCAGAAAATTATGATAAAAAGAGACCAATCATTCTACTCAATGGAATATGAGAACTCACTTATCACTTATATCATTGAAAAAAGTAATGTACATCGTGATTTCTTAAGAAATTACTTCTTGATCATAGACAATATACAAGTCTCCGTTTTCCATGGAAAGTAGTAAAATTCAGGGTTTGTAATAATACATTTATATTATTTGGCATCATTTTATCCATGTTCACATCAGTAAGAGAACTTTATTATTTAAGCTAATGCAGTTAACATTTCGTTTTACGCAAAAGAGATGCTTACAAATAAAAAAAATGTATTTTTCCCAATATAAATATATTTTAATTTAAAACATTATTAAATGAATATTACTGGATTTACCCAAAACAATATTACTTTGAGATCTCTTAATGAGAAAAGCCACGACTTTATAGCTGTGAGTATATTTAAAGGGTGGTCCATACTTTTTTGATAAATTAAGAAAACAACATTTACATTTATTAATATTTATTGCCCGTTTGTTCGAAAGATATGAAAATTTCATTATTTATGGTACAATCCAGCAACTTCCTAAGCCACCACGAAGGCAATGATGACGGCCTTTAGTTCTATCTCACGAATGGCTTATACGCCATTAACCTTAAGAATTTGAATATGTAAACCTAACCGTTTAGGAATATTTGGCATTTAACAAAATATTAAATTTCAAGTAATCACCGAATATGGAAGCATGTTTTTTTAATCTCCAAAATGTGACAATTTCTCTTCTCAACATAACTGTTGAAAGCAAAACGGTCTTTTTCGACTTTTGCGATTACTCGATACATCCAAATATGATTTGATCACAAAACATTTGCTTGGAGAATGTATGATATTGACTTACTGTCGAGGTTTTCAGCGAAGAAGCGCATTCTAAACTGTCAAAATGTCATATGAACCACCCTATATCGGTTTTTTTTATTGGTTACGGTATTTACGAGTATACACATATACATATATGCACATATTAGTGGTGTTGTTAATATTCAAATATTATAATCACTGACTCATTCGACGTTTTTTTAAGGAACATAGCTGAACGGGAAAAGTATGGGCTTTTACAGCGATGCAATTGGTGACTCTCATCACGTTTAACTTAAAACCAAATTATTTTTTTTTTTCAACAAAAAAAGTAAACAGGCAAAAAAATTTAGTATAATGCAAAGTGTTACCGGCATTTTTAAGTAAACAGATGAAGATTTACAAATTCGCGTTTCCCATTCGGTAAAAAAGCTCTAGCGAAAAAATTGTTGACCCAAACTATTTTTGACGCAACTTTTAAATAAAATGCGACTGTGTTGAATGATAAAGGTGGCAAAAGAAGCAATCGATTGAAAGGAAATGTTACGCAATCACAACAATAGTTAGGCAATAGTGAAAATAATTAACATATCTGTGATATTTTCATGCACCAAACGCAAAACAAACAACAACAAGCACGGAAGCGTTAATATTTAATTAGAATATTGACATAAAAATGTTGGAAACGAAACTAATCCGAAATTGCGAGCGTTTATCGTCGTCGCTGGTATCAAGCAGTTAGAGATCTTTGTGTGCCTTCATAAGTTGATTTTTGATTTTGACCGATTTGAGAAACGTATCAAAAGTCAACACTTTCACTTTTTATGGAAGTGAGAAGTGAGATTTCGAGGTGGCGCATTTGATTTATTCAAATAATGCACACATTTACACACATACATGTAAGTATGCTGTGCTTGAATTATGTGCGACGTCAGTTGAAGTGATCATCAAGAGCTCGTTAAATAATAAAAAAGTGGAAATTTTAAATACGTGAAACCACAACGAAATCTGCAAGTAAGGCTTTGGCACAAAATGTAATCAATAAATCAAATTATAATTTCATTTAACCGATGTTAATAATGATCATATGAAAATTAAGTTGATAAATAAAAAAAAAATATTGCAGACACAAGACAGACCATATCATTAAATAAAGTGGGTCCCAAGTGAAATGAGAAAGTATTAAGGGACGATAACAACAAAACAATACGAAAAAATGCGAAAAGAAAAAATAATAAAACAAAGACAACATAAAAAAAAACAGAGACAAAACAAATTTAAAAAATAACATATATAAAAATAAAAAATCAGGTAACCAAATATTAAAAAACCAAAACCAAAAAAAAAATTAAGTAACGAAATGTAAAATAAATATTAGTAATAAAATGTTTACTCAAATGTTGGGTATACTCGTACTACCGTGATCAAAATGTAAGGTGAAAATGCATTTAAAAATCCCGGGCATAAGGAAGGTAGGTACATTTTTGTTTAGTTTGGTAATACTGTCTATAACATTTACCAAGTTGTATAAATACCATAAACATAAGCAAGTTCACCTTACTTTTTGATCAGTAATACTACGTACGTAATTAATGAGTTTTGATCGCTTAGATGGTAATCAAATTGTTAATTATAATAAACAATCAAAAACTAAAAACAAGTACAAAGGTAAGCTAACAAAATAATTTTATATTCTTACAAAGTTATAAAAAGAACAACTAATTGAAATATTATTTATTTAACTAAAAATAAATAGAATAAAAGTCGTGTTTTTGTAAACTAGAAGCAAAAGACTATCACTCTTGTCATACAATAATGAAAAAGAACACAACAACGAGAAGGAATGAAGTTAGCCGTAATTTCCAACATTTTTTGCAGAGCTGACGAACAATGATAGCGCATAATATAATATTACCA